ACAGGATCGATTGCGTACTGTTGACACGCGGCGTCAGCCATGGAGAGGCCCTGACAGCGTGCTTCACATGTAATCTGCAACGTGTTTCAACGTGTACAGCAGGTTGTTTTGGTTGCTGCTGCTCACGCTTGTTGTGGCTCGTCTGTAACAAGGATGGCTGGCTCTTTGCGGAATGGCGGGTTTGACTGTGACCGTAGCATGGCTGGATTGGATTGGTATGAGTAGCACCCTCAGCTGCATGTGTGCTGGTTTAGTTTTGTTGCTTCGCTCGCAGCGGTTGCAAACCTGCATGCACACGTTGCCTGCATCATGCGTGCGCGGGTGCCGTGGTGCAGAAGCATATCGTGCATAGTGAGACGACTCGCCCTGTGCAAGGCGATGGTGCATGTTTGGGTTTGTGCATTCGTTTCGGTGTGATGCATGCGAAAAGGTGGTGCACGGCAAGACGAAAAGGGGGGTATCGACAGTGGTTGGCAATCCCATCGGGGCGGTGGGCAAACATTACAAACGTTTTAGCATTCCCCAAGACGAGGTGGCTGAGCCTGCCTGAGATATGGTAGGTTGATGAAAACGTAGTAGGGGTTGGGAACGTGTAGTTGACTCATGGGCCGGTTGGAATCGTATGTTGAGTTGACGACTGAAGAAGGCCCAACAATTGTCCCAGCTGAGCCGTATGATAACTGACATTAGACCCGCAGTTAAGGGTTGGGTACAACCAAAGCCAGTACGAAGCTGGGACCTCAGGACGTCCTCAGCGTGTTTACTAGCCTGTAAAAGCATATGTGAGTGTCACCTATCCCTTTAATGTGAAAGGCACCATATTCCATTGGGTAAATAAGAAGAGAGGGAGTCAGTTTCCAAATCATTACGTACACAAAAGTACGCTCAGCTGGGTATACCTGTGTTGAGACTTGGTAAAGAAGATTTATGCACGGAAAGGGGCGGAATGGAAAGAAGAGCAACAGGATACGAAGAATGAAGGCTTGATGAGCAGATCTGAGCATTGTACGGCAATTAAAGCAAGCTCGCCCAATTCGGGTCAGGTCAGACAACCAGTTAAGCCATATCGGAAGACGTATGGAATGCCAATGAAGTGGATTTACGCAAAAGGGATGCCTAAGCGGCGATAGCTAACAGCCCGTCGTAATACGGAGGCAACCGAAGACACGACGACCCTAAATGGTACCAGGATCCAAAGCAGGACGAGCTCGTACCGAAGACGTTATCAACACCGGCTTAAGCATCTTGGCTATGATCAATATTTCTGAACAGGGATTACGTTCAACTTGCCAAAAAGCGTAGGGCACCTGTCTATTGCGACGGTCAGCTAAGGAGCCCTACGGGCTACATCCAATGCTTAATAATTATTGAAGTACACAACAAGGAAAGGCTCTTGAATTCCTTCGTGACCAGGATGCCCAGTGAAGCGCAAATCCTGAGGACGCGCTAGTTGGATGGCTCGAAGCTTAAGCTTTGCTTCTGGTAGTGGTATCCTTTTACGTTACTCCCTGGCCAAATGTCCTTACAGCCGTCTCAACCCGCATCGCCCTTCATTGCTCCCTTAGCCCCCTGCCTCCGTACCCCACACCTTTCCCCCGTCGCCCCATACGTCGGCCCCCCTCAGTGCGTGAGGGGCGACGCATGGAGTACCGGGGGAGCGTCTATTGGCGGCAACACATACAGCAGCCATGATTGGGCTGCGGCGGGAGGGGTTGGGGAAGGGATGGAGTCATGGAGAGCTACGTGGGATGAGGTGACGACGGGGCAGCATGCGGAGGGAAGAAGAGGGTACAGCATACAGTGGTTGGGAGCATAGGGCAGCGTTGAAGTGACCGCAATGCACGTGGGGACGTGGTAAGAAATGGGGTGCGAAGGAAGGGGTCAAAGGGACTGTATGAAGTGGCGGGGGGGGGGCGAAGAGACGGGATGGATGGCTACACGGGTTGGGATGACGTTAGGGCGTGTGTATAAACTACCGCCTGCATATCCTCCGTTTCCTTGCGGAGACAGCCATAGATGCAGACGCCTGCCCGAGCATCACCACGTGCCTTAGCCTCCCCGGTGCCTCGCCTGGTAGATATCCCTGACCGCTCCACTAATGTTCCTTTGCCGAAGTTAAAGATGACACGATAGCTGGCAATGTTCCATAATTTGCCCTCCCGGTACGAAGCAACAGTAGTAGATAACCATGCACCAGACTGGCCACGACGAGCGATTCTCAGGCTAGGCCGCAGACATGGGTATCCTGGCCGACGGCTTACCTTAGTAGTGATCCTCGTTCTCTACTGAGCTACCTACAGTTGTCAGGAATGCGTCAAGGAGCAGCCCCTAGGGCTGCTGAGCAAAGCATCGCAACTAACAGGCGCTCAACGATTTTTTATTAGACTGTCATATCCCCTGTGTAGTGGTGTTTAGATCTTGACTTTGTGTTGATAACGTCCTCGCTACGAGCTCGTCCGACTTTGGATCCTGGTCGCCCACACCTTTTGATAAACGCCCACACCTAAGGATAAACCAGAATTTACTGTAAGAAACACTGAATTAAACATGCGTGTACTACTTGGCGGACAATACACTTGGGGGCCAGGACAAGTAGCGATTACTCAGTTCACTTGGCGCAAATATATCAAGCGTGGTTAAACGCATATGGGAATAAATCACTAAAATCTTCATGTATCCCCATCATGCCGCTTCACATCAGCGAAATAGGAGGGCCGACGGGAATCCCGTGCGGCTTGGAATACTGGACGATTTTACAATGCCCTGGCAAAGTTGACATCTAGACGAAATAGCTTCGTCTTCTCAAGATCTGTATCTCGAGGACCTGTTTTTCACTAGCAAACACGTCTTTCGCGAGCCGTTGGGCACGCCCACCCGCCGTACAATGCCCGCGATCTTCGCTTAAAACAGAATTCTGAAGCTAGCCAAGCATTTTCTGTACAGGCGACATTCCCAGAACTCTTCCTGTTTTATGCAAGTATACCTTGGGAAGCTTGATCACTCCTCAAAAGCCTGCCCTTAAGGGCATCTTCACCAGCATGTCGAGCAAGGATGCTGCATGGGTGCCGCTGCCCCCAGGTCCGGAGCGACCTAGGCGTACGGCCCCGTTTTTGCTTTTTCCTTTATCCTAGTCTTTTTGCAACTATTGACCGTGTCTTCCTAAGTGCCAGGTGAATGGGCGCTTAAATCAGCCTCGCCCACTTGAAAAGTCCGCTTGCAAGTCTGTCAGCGCATTTCCCCAGCAAAAGACGCATGTCGCATGTACCGTTATGGTAGCAATGTTTTGTAAGCGAGACCTAAGAGCTAAGTCAGTTTATTAGACGAAAGTTTGCGGAAATGTGGCTTTTGCCGAGCCGTCCTGAGCCGTTATACCATTTCAAGGCTAATTACAAGTCATAAGGATACCGGACAAATTTAGCAAACAGTAGGTCCATGGCAAGCGAAGATGGCGGTAGTATGTCCTCTGAGTACGCTTCCGACTACCACAGTGACGATGATGACGCATATAAAGATGCCACTGAAGGTTTCGAGGACGACCTATCACTCACCGAGGAAGTATCATCGGAAGAAGCCGAGAATGCCGGCTAGAGGGATATGGTGGAGTTGGGGCAGGCTGCAGCTGATGGGGACACATACCCCTTCATTGAAGTAGGCGTCTTCGTGAGTATCGCTCCGCCATACGGTTTCCCTTCTGCTTTACTTTCCCTGTCTGTGATTCCAACTGCACTCCCACTGGGTATTCCCTTCATTCTCCTTAACACAAGGCTTGTACTTCCGTGCTGTATATAGCCGCCCCCCATTCCTTTAGGAGTGTATGCGCCATTCCCCTACCGCATTTCCCCATGCGTTTACTTAAGCGGATACCCTGACTAACGTCATGCACCTCTGTGCCGTAGGAGGTTGATGATTTGGATGACGAGGACACTTCAGGCAACTTACCAGAAGGTTTCTATGCCCCATGCTGCGTATAGACAGGCTACCATGTGTCAACAGAAGCCGCACGCCCCGTAACCTTCTTTGGCAAGCAAACCGCACGGTTGCTTTGTATGTGCGCAGGATACCTCTCACGGGCACAAGGATGGGCCACCTGTCGGTGAAGTGGCTGGTAGGTTTTCGGTCCTTTGCACTTCAGAGGGCCTCCACCCCTGTCTTGAAGGCCCCCCAAGCCACCACCTGGGAAAACCGATCGTTGCCTTTTGCGCCGAAACTTTGGGAATGGTGCCTTTTAGATAACATAAAGGTGAGGTTAAACGGGCGTGACAAAATTTGATGGTCGGTTGGCCCGCTGCACTTTGGAGGGCCTCCCCCCTACCCTGAAAGCCCCCCAAGCCACCACCTGGGAAAACCGACCATTGCCTTTTGCGCTGAAACTTAGGGATGGTTCCTGTTAGGTAACACAAAGTTAAATGGCCTGGGTGCAAAGGCACCGGTCACTGGGAGGGGCGGGCAAGCACATGTGGGGAAACATGTTGTGGACAGGGGTACGATGGTGACCACCCCCCCGGTGGCAAGGGCAGGCGCGCTGAGCGGCATCATAACGCCGTCGCCAACAGCAGTCAGCCTTCCATTAAACGAGGACGGCGCCTGAATTGAGTGATCGGTTCGATACAACTCTCCGGAAGCGAGCACATGCATCATGCCAGGTTGCGCGCGGAACCATGGCGCAGAGCAAACAGAGTACAGGGGTCGTGCCTGCTGAGTAAATACGTTGTCCAGGCTATAGACATTTTCCTTGCTGTCAGTGAATGGGGAAGCCATCTGAGCTTTGCTGGATGGGGAGGGCTGACGACGCGGTCGCAAGCGCGCAACAATAGTGGTTTGTGCCTAAATGACACCAATCACTTCCAATAATTATTGGGCAGCTAGTAAGGCTTTTTAAAGCAAAAAAGCTTACGAAAGCGGAAATTCTTATGGCTGGTGCCGTACGCCTAGGTCGCTCCGGACCTGGGGGTAACGGTGGTCATCCATGGATGCTGCAGGCCGCCTGGCATCAACGGCGCCAAGCGCTCTCAGGGCGATCCTTGTGTTAATGTTTTCATTTTCCTTTGTGGCCCTCGGCGATGCGCGCTCTACCCTTGCTGCTGGCAGTCGGCGAAAGCTGACCCAATTCCAACCTCCACCGCAAGGTTCGTGACTCGTGAAGGCACAATTGAAGTTTCATACAAAGCAATAGGAATGCTGCCCTCGCGTGCCGGTTGCTGTGAACGGTTCGTTTTGCGCCTTTGTTGACACCGTGCAATTTAGTGTGCTTTCGGTGGAAACGGAACAGACTGCAGATGCACGACTTCTCACCGAACATCTTGTTCGTCCTTGCCCTACTACAGGCTACTACGCTCTGACCGCTTTCTGCCGCTATCCCAGCCAAGACATCTACGGCTTTAACATGGGTTGCTACATCAACGCAACTGACGCCTGCCCCGTGTCTCCGACCGACCTCAATTCAGCGGTTTTGCAGGCAATGGCCCAAGTGTGCCTTGCCAAGGATGGCTGCGAGGGGTTCTCATCTGATGGCTGGTAGGTCCTGTAAAGCACTGCTGTATCAAGCTATACTAGCAATGCATGGAGCTGCACGCCACTGTACCTGCATTGTTAAATTGAAGCCCCCATCGTGGAGCTGCATCGAAGGGGGGGATAAATGAAAAGTGAATCGGGGGAGGGGGGAAGAGGCACTGTTAGCGACATGCCCGTCCTCGGCCCCCATAAGTTTCAAAACCCCGGGCAAGCAAGTTCCACTGCCCGGCATATTGCCCTTCATACGTCCGTATGCAAGTTTGAGTACTTAAAGCTTGCATGTGACAGATATTAGCATAAATCACGAAGTAGAAATCGGGGGGAAAGTCTTATTTCACATGGAGTGACGGTCTGAGTTACCCCACTAACAGCACTACCTACTACCTACCTTCCCGTGCAGGCTCAAGTCCACAAGCCAGCAGGCCTTTGCTACTCCCGCCCCTGCGCTCCAAGGGCAGTTTCAGGGCCTTTACCTACGCAGACTCGGTAGGCCATATTATCGCCACAAGAGCCTTGGTCGCAAGAACTTTGACCTGTCTAGCGGGTACCCCCCGCCTTGTGCCATAGTCGTTAGTTGCTCCGCCCGTTTGAGCTCTGATCCCCGCCTATACAGGCTCCGGACCTCTAGCCGACTACTGCTTCTACCAGGGTCAGGACATCCAGAAGTACACCCTGACCCGCCTGAGCGCGTATCCGGATACTTATTTTGATGGCAGCAATGCTGAGGTCCTGGCAAAGCAGTGCAGCGCGACTTCTGGCTGCTTAGCTTTTAACACATTGCAGGTAAGTTGCGGGATTGGATTCAGCATACACCCCTGTCCTTTTTAGCCTGCCCTTGGGACCAGGCGCCCCGCGAGGCTTACGAGCTGTGGGACCCAGGAAACAGCGATGCCCCGGCAAATCGTAAGACATGTTTCTTCAATACCATCCACCTGAAGCTGGTGTTGCAGCTTAGTGCCAGGCTTTCGTAATTTATATTTCTCTTTGCGACATAGAAATGACAAGCCTGAAGTGCATTGACTACAGTAATGTGCCAGTACCGAATACGGTCGGAAGCAATTTTTGTTTGTAAAGACCCTATCACTATACATCGAAAGCGTGTTGCATAACAAAGTCATAGCTGCAGAGGCTGTGCCTTGAGGAAAGCGAGGCAAACAGGTTGACAGATGTCGTACTATGAAGCCTAAGCGTCCCAATCGCTGCATATGATAATAGTAGAGAGCAGGAGAGCATGTAGTGGCACTTACCAATTGCTTTTCTGATAATGGTACAGTTTGCTGATAACATCACACCGTTAGGCTTTGTGCCCTGTGCTTAAATGGGCCTGCTACACAAGGACAACATGCCCACAGTACAGTAGCTGGATTTACTGTTACATGTATATAAGGCATGATGGCTTGTCCCGTCGCGCAAATGCAGCCTTCCAACCAAGCACAAGTGAATTGGTTCATTCTATCTAGACTGCTTAATGAAGTGGGCATCAACAGAGTTTTGATTAGGGCTTCCTGAATAACTGTTATCGCGTTTGACCTCAACGGCAGCATTGCGGGAAGGATGGAGACGGCTAGGATGTGACGAAATGTACAGGACTTGGTAAAATACCCATTTACCGCTCCCTTAAGACTTGCGAGCCTGCCAAGACTATTTCGCTCATTACAGTTGAACGTTGCACTGAGGACCATCACGAAAACGGTTATGCCTTCTTATGCCACACACCACGTGCTACCAAACCCTCCAAGCCTTTGACCTTGCGCATCGAAACGCACCATCTCTGCCAATGCATGTGTTCCCTACGCACGGGCTCACGCACGAAGGCGGGCCATGAGGTTGGTTTTGTCCGCATGCATGCGTGTATGGCATTGACCAATGCAGACCACGGTTTGGGTTTCCCAGTGTTACCAACCAAAGATTGCATGCCTGCTGGAGCCATCCAGGAAACGTACATTGCGGCCAGTCCATTGGTATGCTCGTCTCTGGAGGTTGCCATGTTCATCCTTTCCCCATTCCCACCATTCTCTCTTATCTGACCCCAACGCAGTACCTGAAGACCACCGCGGACCTGTCACTTGTGAAACCGCTAACATCCGTCTTCAGGACCAAGGGACAGGGGGTCTACCTCAAGGCAACGCTGCCCGCACGTGAGTACCGGCATGCTCGCAGGCACACGATAAGAGTTGATAGCTATTATAATACAAGTCGTGCTTCCCGCAGGCGAGCACTTACACATGTATGCATGCCCCTGCAGACACAGCAGCATATCTTTCCATGTTTCTTGGTTCTGTTATTAGGGCAATTGGCGGCGCTACCTGGCGACCTTCCAAAGAGATAGTTCACAGGAGTTGAAGGCAACTAGGGCCTTCCGACAGGAAAACGAGTGTCCGGCTTCCATGAAAACGAGGGGAGAGCGAGGCATTCTTAGCGTGTAGGCTAGCTGGGCTGTTACCATCTAGGTGAACAACGTAAGCAAGAGGTACGATAATCATGGACAATGCAAGGCTTCATAGGCCACACACTAAATAAAATCCATGAACACATTCCATCCTTACCATGCATGCAGCTCCTCCAAGCCCCAACCCTCCAAGCCCACCAAGCCCACTGCCGCCCAAGCCATCACCCCCAAGCCCGTCGCCTCCTCCCCCTCCGAGTCCCTCCCCGCCCAGCCCCAAGCCCCCCTCACCTCCAAAACCACCCAGCCCATCGCCGCGAAGCCCTCCTCCCCCTGCACCCGTGGGTGAGACTGCTTGGCTAAACAGCAATTGGTAACTCATAACTTCCGACGGATCTTCCTACCAACCTGCATATTCTTCCTCGCCCTGCAGGCCTCCTTGCTCTTGGCTCTTTTTGCCCTTACCCTGGGCAAGACATCAAGGGCTATGACATTAAATGCTATACATCAGGAGTATGCCCTTTGGGCGACAGGACCACTCGTGGCCACATTCAGGCGTTGGCAGAGGCATGTGCCGCCACAACTGGGTGTCTGGCGTTCACCAGCGACGGATGGCTCAAGTCCGCTGGTTCCGAGGCCATGCAGCCCGCCACGGCCTCCTACACCACGCCAGTGCAGGGAACCTACGTGCTGCGACCCAAAGGTCGGTATGTTGCCTAACCTGTCCACCAAGCCCTTAGAAGGGGTGCACCATAGTAGCGTTGCACCCCTCTGACAGGGGAACGAACCATACGTTACTGAGCACGCAGTATGTTAGCTATCTTGTGTGGGCAACCCATGCAAATCTATTATCCCCGTACACCGTTCTTACGTCAGCCTCATCAGCTGCAAGGGTCATTTAGCACATTTTCTTGTGCGGCATGTTTATTATTCTCTTGCATGTAACCCTAATACCACCAAAGCGTACTTTTAGCTCCCATGCTTTGCTCTATGCCTGATGCGTGGTCCCTCCTGCAGGCACTGGCCAGTCGCTTGACGCCTTTTGCTTCTACCAGGGTCAAGATCTGCTGGATAATGGCAGCAATGGCACCTACTACACGGAAGAGGACTTTCCCGACTCGTACAACAACGGAGCCAACGCGGTTGCCCTGGCAGACTTGTGCCTGAGTGACCCGGAGTGCCTTGCTTTCAACACCAACCAAGTGGGTCTATGTTCTGCAAGGAATCTGGGAACTGAACACTCCCCCGCATGCAGCACGAGATAAAGTGATCTACGAAGAATTGTATGTATCCTCATGGAACTGCTACTGTCGATTGTTCCTAGTTACGTTGACGATTGAAGCCCCCTTTACTTCATCATCACTTCTGAAAGAAACCGTACTTGCATACACTATGTTCCCCAGGATTTCAAGTCGACTGCCAATCTGTCATTGCTGACATCCGTTCCCAGCACGTTCCCCATGCGCGGTCAAGGACTCTACGTTCGCGCTTTCTTGCCAGCACGTGAGCCTGCTGGTGTTGGGGTTGCAAGTGCACACACTTGTCAGAAGCGCCCAGATGCGACTTGATCTTGCTCGCTGTATGCATGCCTGGGAATACACCAGGTTTTGGACCCAAGGTTAACTGCTTGACTCTTACGCCTCTCTTTCCCGCAGCTCCCCCTGGTGTGCCGAACCAGCCAAGCCCACCGACGACGCCAAGCCCGCCGACGCCAAGCCCACCTAGCCCACCTAGCCCTGCACCGCCAGCAGTGGTTCAGCCCTACATTGCACAGGTGGCCGCTATAGGCGCGAGCACCTGTGTCCTGGTGGCCCCTGCGGGCAGGGTCAAGTGCTGGGGCGGGGGCTCTGACGGGCAGCTTGGTGGCCAAAATACAATAGACATTGCAGGAAGGACTTACATCATCCCAGACGCAAGCAACTGCACCTACATTAATCTTGGCTCAAGTGTCGGTCCAGTGATATCCCTAATTGCTAACCCCAATTCGGGAATGTCATCCGTCTTTTGTGCGCTGCTTGCTGGAGGCTACAAGTGCTGGGGCCTCAACACCGACGGACAACTGGGATACGGGCACAAGGTGAGGTAGTTGGTGTACAGCACGCATGAGCGAGATGTGCGTCGGGTCTATCACGCCGTTGGTGTCCTACCTGCGTTGTGTGCATGCACGCTACAAACATGCATGTACAAGGCTCATGCTTCTGGGCAATAGAGCGAGGACGGAACCCAGGGACTCTTCCAGCATGCAAAAGCATCCCCTCTATAGACCATTTGGTCCAGCTGTTAGGTGAGATAAGACCGGTGTGCCAACCCGAGAAGGACGCTTTGACGGATCCTGTACACCCTCTTGCAGAATGTCGTCGGCCTCTACAACAACACTATGGGCGACGCCCTTCCATACCTCAACCTTGGAGCAGATCCCAATACTGTCTCCCTGACATTTGGGCCTAACCACGGTTGCGCCTTGTACAAATCCGTGGGCAAGATTAGGTGCTGGGGAGCGAACGCGCATGGTAAGCAGGATCTGCTGGTGGTGGGAACAAACCGCTGCTCCGCTTAGGCACATGCATGGCTGGCAAGACTCCAAAGCAGCTTCTCTAACCCAAAACGAGGTTCGTCAGGCCTTACAGCCAGCTGCTAGGGTCTTGGATGTCTGCCGGTACATATTTGCCTCAATTCCTCGTCCCTCTACCCCTTCAGGTCAGCTTGGTTACAAAGATACCGCGTCGCGTGTGGTTGCCAACATTTCATCCCTCCCATTCGTCGACCTTGGGAGCAACTTGACGGTCTCAGCGGTGACAGCAGGGTATCAAATGACCTGCGCCATCCTCCAGCCTGGAGATCGACTTAAATGCTGGGGCAGAAACGAAAACGGAATGCTGGGCATCGAACGCAGTGATGTGGGTAACATGCTAGCTGTGACTCTCACGCCCCAACATCTGCTACTACTGCTGGAGAAAAAAATACCCCTACCCTTTTGTACCATTCACAAGCAAGCCTTAGCTCAGAGCAAGTGCCGCGCGCTCCCAAAAGTTCAGAGCACAGTGTGCGATGATTTCCAATGCACATACACCACGAAGTGCAGGGGTTTTGTCTGTTTTGCCTGTACTCGCGGTTCACATGCGAACCTCTCCCAATTGCTTGCTCTTGTCCTACTCAACTATACACCACGAAGTGCAGGGGTGAAAGCCGTCGAACTGCGAGCAACGGGTAGCGTAATGACTGATGTTATCCAAGCTAGTTAAGCGTGGATGCACCACTACTGGACATTACAAGAAACTGAGTACGGACTGGCTGTTCTTCATCTATTCGCTCCCGGCTGCTGCACTGACTTTGCAGAATACTTACGGTGGCGCTACGAACCAGATGGGTGACAACCTGCCTTTCGTCGACCTCGGCACGTACAACAGCGCAGCAGTAAGGGTGGCGTCCATCGAATTAGGGTATAACCACGTCTGCGCACTACTGGCCTATCCTGCCGGCAAGGTCAAGTGCTGGGGTGGCAACTACGGGGGCCAGCTTGGTCTTGGGGACACTGTTGCACGGGGCGGCGCAACTAGCCCACGTCGTATGGGAGACGCATTGCCCTACACGGACCTCGGAACAGCGGTAGACGGGTCAGTCCCTTCGGCCTTGACAGCGGGCTCTGCTCATAGCTGTGCGCTGTTCATGCCTTCTGGCCGAGTCAAGTGCTGGGGCGCCGTTGATCGGGGGGCCATCGGCTCCGGGGCTGCTTTAAACCTTGGTGACGGACCTGGTGAAATGGGCGACAACCTCAAGTATGTGGACCTTGGGAGCAACGTCACTGCCTCAGCAGTCGTTTCACTTGATTTTGCCATGTGCGCTCTCCTTCAACCTAGCAACCGCGTAAAGTGTTGGGGCACCAACAATCTTGGCGAGCTGGGCATTAGCACTGACTTGGATCGTAACGTGGGTATGGTCGCTAGTGAAATGGGTGATAACCTGCCGTACGTACCTGTGACATACTAATGCCACTGGGCCTAATGCCTGATAGGCTTCGACTTTTCGACATGGGTCAATGACTCTAAGGAGGCCCCAGCAGTGATGAAAGCTGGTTGAGATGTCCCAATCAAGATAGGTGCGATCAGCAGTGTTTCAATTTTTTTGGCTGGGAAATTGTTTAGGAGCCAAGTGGTTACCCTTGGCCCTTTGGGGGTTATTTTGATAACCACCAGATATTTAGCAGCATATGACCGAGGTTGATCGGCCACCATTGAAGCTTGCGGCCAGCACTGGTTGCCGTTGCAGGGGCGGGCAATTTTCGGGGTTTGGCGGCCATATTCCCAGTGACCACCTGGCTAATTTCAGGGTTGGTAGGCCACCTTTACCGCTGCTTAATTTCGGGATAACCGCAAGGTCACTAGTAACCACGCACCAATTTTATAAATACTGGGTGCGCTACTCCACCATGTTCGGTTCTCATCACTGCCGTACTCATCAGTTGCAAGTGAATTGGCCGGGCATGGACGCTGCCGGGTCGTTATTATTAGTGTAAGTGCGTGCTATGCGGTATCTAGGCATGCACATGCATGCGGCGTGGTTGTATACGTATGTGTGTGTGGCGGAGCTCCTTAGAGGGCGACGTCCACCTTGTTGCGTTCTTTGCCTGCTGTATGTGGTTATCGTGTGCTGAAATAATCGTGCGATACTGCTACACTAAATGTCATCAGCGCGCATGGCATCTGTGGTAAGATGTGGTAACTAGCCAGCTGTGCGTTTATAGCTGTGTGTCTTCGAGCATACCTTGATCTTGTCAATAGCGGCTAGCCAACTTAGGGAATGCTCACGTGTAAGTTTATGTAAACCACTAAGAAGATCAACGCAGCAATAAGAATGCGTAGTCGTGTTCGCAATTTGGTTTGCGACGACAGAAGCCTCTTGCGGCGTTTGCATGGGTCGGGTACCAATGAGGCGACCCATGGGTCGGTTGATGGTTGTTGGCAAAGGACAGGGCCTCCATTGAGACTTTTCAATCAGAGAGGCAAATACAGACTTCTTAACCCTGAATACACATTTTCCTGTATCTGTATGCATGTACTACTGCTGGTCAGCTTCATCAAACCTTACTCCTACCTTCAACGAGGAGGTTCGCCTAAACGTACACGCTTAAACGTACACGGCATGCAAAAGTGCCATAGATGAAAAAATCATAAGACGACTCAGCTAGTTTTGGTTGGACAATCGCTAAATGTTGGACCTTCCGTACATGACTACTAGAGGCATCGCCTACTATCGTATCTCGCCACGCAAACTCTCCTTACTTACATCTCTGCATGCTAATACATACGTACATAAAGCTTACTTGGCCGTATGCCGACATCAAAAACAACACCAGCATCCCTACCTTCCTAACAACTAAGGTAAACCATATCCCATGTTCGCACACAGCGTCCCAGCAGTGTCCTCTTGTCAGGTGCTACACCGGGCGCGAATGAAACATCCCCTTGCCGTGCGGCGGGACGATTTGCAATGTGCTTAAGTATCCTTACGGATGCCTGCTGCTGCACGCTTGTTTCCTTAGACGTTCCATCAACTGCACACGATTGTATCTACCTATCAGTAACTGGGCCACCCGGCACCTGGCCCGTGACCAGCAGCAGGCACGACACGGGCAGGGACTGTCTTAACACACAAGATATGCCACTTCAACCTTGCACAGCAGCTGCTGTCCCAGCATTCATGCTATTAGGTACCGCAAATCTACTCCCAGTCTATCCACCATGAAGCTCCCTTCTGTTCATCCAGACATTATGGTAAGGCTGCGCCAAGGAATTGATTGGCTAGATATCTCATTTTGTGTGCATCGTACGGTGAAATCCCCAAGCAGAGTCTTACTTGGGGGCCATAACAAGTACCGAATCACCGGTAGCCATAACCATGGCTTATGGTAGATACGGTATTGTTCCTTACGTGAGCTGGAGTCCAACAGCTGCCACTTGTGGCAACTCTTGCTTTGTTGCTACAGGACCGTCATTGACGTTAATCCGTACACCGACAACCTCAGCCGTGCTAAAGTCACCCCAGCTCATGGCTGGTTCCAGTGTCGTTGCCAGCACAGCAAACGAGTTGAGGCCGGGGCACTTTAACTGCTGCTGCTCGGAGGTGCTGCTGCCAGCATCGTACATGGTGACCCACGTGGCGGCAGTTTCCTACGGTCGTACGTACATGTAGGAGCGCGGGTAGGGATAGGGTTTACTAGCAATAATGCACGGCGATGGCAGCCGGCACATAACGGCACATAAGGGGCGGCACTTAATTGGTCGTATGTAACAAGTAAGGTCTACGTCTTGAAAGGCAGAGGACCAGTAGTATACTGGACCAAAAGGCTATAGTGTACACCGTGTCTGACCTGGCCCTGTGTTCTCAGCAACAGGTCAATGGAGGCAATGGGGGGCGTGAGGCTGCCCAGGTAGAGCACTTGCAGCACCACACCAGCCACCTGGCCGCCAGTGGCTGTCGGTGTCTGGTTGAAGTAGGCCACCGCGTAACGAGGAACCTGCGTTATGGCAAGGGTGTTTAAATATTCATTTGGCGTTCTTATTACAGAGAGGGGACGCAGTGGGTTTGCGAGTGAGGTCAAGATTTCCATGGCTGCTACTTGCCCAACCCTCCCACGCACGCACCGCCTTTGTCGGTAACCATGCTTTCTCCGGTGCTGCTTGACAACGTTTGACGGAGCTTGGCGACCCCACCAAGTGGCTCACTGCTCCTGGTTGGATGCTGCTCCCCGACGGATCCTGAAGGAGCAGGGAAGCTGCAGGCATTACTACCGGGTACCAGCAATGCCAGCCAAATGTACCGCACGACAGCAGTGTATGGCGTAAATCCAGCGCAGCAGCAACGCATGCTGCCACGGTTATACGGCCCGACGAGCATCAAGTAAGTAGGGCAATCTGTGACAAACATATGGTAGCCGTAAACAGCAGTACACTACATACGTACACTAGCGGCTGCTGCAGACGTGGCCCACGATACTCTTGGCGGTGTTGGTGGTTGGCTGGGGGCCGGGCTGGGTGGATCTGGAGGGCTAGGTTGTGGAAGAGCCGGTACTGGTGGATCCGTTGGAGGGGTAGATGGTGGTGGGCTGGGGGGTACCAGAATCGGGGGATTACTAGGAGGAGGTTTCTTCTTTGCACGAGGCGGTGAAGGTGGGGGTTTCGGGGAAGGTCGCGAAGGAGGAGGGGGCGGATGAGGAGGTAGTGGTTGGGGATAGGGTGATGACCGGGATGGCATCGGTAATGGAGGGCTGCTAGGGGGTGGCCGGCCCTTGGGTTTGTGAGACGGTGGTTTCTTCCTTGCACGAGGAGGTGGAGGTGGTGGGGTGGATCTGGGTAGTTCAGGCGGGCCAGGTGGGGATGGTGGCGGACCTCGAGACAGTGGGGACAGCGGAAAGAGAGCCGGTGAACGAGGAGGAGAAGTCGGGGGCATGGGTGACGGAATGGATGGAATGTTGACGGGGGGCGGTAAAGATTGAGGGAGAGGAGGCAAGAGGGGCGTTTGGGGTGACGGAGGCTGGAACGAAGGCTGTCGCGGGGGCGATTGCACGGGTGGAGTGGTGGGATACGGAGATGGCGGTGGAAGAGGAGGTGGCGGGGGCGGTGGTGGAGGAGGTCGAGGTGAGGGAATGACGAAAGGAGGCGGTGGCGGTGGTGGAGGAGGTAGAGGTGAGGGATTGGTGAACGGAGGCGGAGGCGATGTCCGTGGAGAGGGTGGCGGTGGTGAGGGATTCCTGTAGGGAGGCGGAGGTGACGGCGATGAAGGGGCCGGTGGTGAGGAATTGGTAATTGGAGATAAAGGTGACGGTGGCAACGGTAATGGTATGAACGAGAGCGGCGGCATGGGAAATATGGCCGAAGGTGACGGGATGAAAGGTGGTGATGGCGGGGGATGTGCTGGAGGCCAGGGCGGTGGCGTGGAAGGTGGTGTTGGCGGGGGCTGAGATGGAGGCGAGGGCGGTGGCGTGGAAGGTGGTGTTGGCGGGGGCTGAGATGGAGGCGAGGGTGGTGGCGTGGAAGGCGGTGTTGGCGGGGGCTGAGATGGAGGCGAGGGCGGTGGCGTGGAAGGCGGTGTTGGCGGGGGCTGAGATGGAGGCGAGGGTGGTGGCGTGGAAGGCGGTGTTGGCGGGGGCTGAGATGGAGGCGAGGGTGGCGGTGTGGAAGGTGGTGTTGGAGGGGGGTGCGATGGAGGCGGTGGCGGTGGCGTGGAAGGCGGTGTTGGCGGGGGATGTGATGGAGGCGAGGGCGGGGTTGCAGGCATTGGAGCTGGCGACGATGGAAAAGGCAGAGGTTGTCGTGAGGGAGGATGGGTTAAAGGGAGAGGAGGCAGTGGCAATGACGGTGACGGGTACAAAACGGTTACTGTTGTGACCAATACTTCAGATACATTGTAGTTCGCCATGAACTGCGGCGAAAACAGGGCACCTGCATCGTGCTGCTGTAACTGCTCAGAGAAGGCTTCAGGTGACTGGTTTTCTGGCGCCAATAAGTTGAAGCCAACAACGACACTGCCGGGTCGGACATACTCCACAGAGCACCGCTGGGCTTCAGTGTTGGCCTGCATGCAAGGCGTATGATGTGAAGTAAGAAACACTCGTGTGGACATCCGTGTCTATCAACAGAGCAGCGAGGGAAATGGTTCATCAAACTGCATATATACCTGTAGGTCAAGGCACGCTTGTAGCTTAAAAGCATCAAGCTGTTCAACGTTTGAAGCAAGCGTACTGTAATCAATACCAAAATGAAGCTCGCTAACCACATGGGGTGGCTCCGGAGGGGGAGGAAAGGCTGGCTGTGGTGATGTTACGGGCAATGGAGGGGGTGGCGTGGAAGGCGGTGTTGGCGGGGGCTGAGATGGAGGCGAGGGTGGCGGCGTGGAAGGCGGTGTTGGCGGGGGCTGAGATGGAGGCGAGGGCGGCGGCGTGGAAGGCGGTGTTGGCGGGGGCTGAGATGGAGGCGAGGGCGGTGGCGTGGAAGGCGGTACTGGCGGGGGCAGAGATGGAGGCGAGGGCGGCGGTGTGGAAGGCGGTGTTGGCGGGGGCTGAGATGGAGGCGAGGGCGGCGGCGTGGAAGGCGGTGTTGGCGGGGGCTGCGATGGAGGCGAGGGTGGCGGCGTGGAAGGCGGTGTTGGCGGGGGCTGAGATGGAGGCGAGGGCGGTGGCGTGGAAGGCGGTGTTGGCGGGGGCTGAAATGGAGGCAAGGGCGGCGGTGTGGAAGGCGGTGTTGGCGGGGGCTGAGAAAGAGGCGAGGGTGGCGGTGTGGAAGGCAGTGTTGGCGGGGGCTGAGATGGAGGCGAGGGTGGCAATGTGGGGGGCGGTGTTGGCGGGGGCTGAGATGGAGGCGAGGGTGGCGGCGTGGAAGGCGGTGTTGGCGGGGGCTGAGATGGAGGCGAGGGGGGCGGCGTGGAAGGCGGTGTTGGCGGGGGCTGAGATGGAGGCGAGGGTGGCAATGTGGGGGGCGGTGTTGGCGGGGGCTGAGCTGGAGGCGAGGGTGGCGGCGTGGAAGGCGGTGTTGGCGGGGGCTGAGATGGAGGCGAGGCGATATTGGCGGGGGCTGAGATGGAGGCGAGGGCGGCGGTGTGGAAGGCGGTATTGGCGGGGGCTGAGATGGAGGCGAGGGCGGCGGCGTGGAAGGCGGTGTTGGCGGGGGCTGAGATGGAGGCGAGGGCGGTGGCGTGGAAGGCGGTGTTGGCCGGGGCTGAGATGGAGGCGAGGGCGGCGGTGTGGAAGGCGGTGTTGGCGGGGGCTGAGATGGAGGCGAGGATGGCGGCGTGGAAGGCGGTGTTGGCGGGGGCTGAGATGGAGGCGTGGTTGGCAATGTGGGGGGCGGTGTTGGCGGGGGCTGAGATGGAGGCGAGGGTGGCGGCGTGGAAGGCGGTGTTGGCGGGGGCTGAGATGGAGGCAAGGGCGGTGGCGTGGAAGGCGGTGTTGGCGGGGGCTGAGATTGGGGTGAGGGTGGCGGTGTGGAAGGCGGTGTTGGCGGGGGCTGAGATGGAGGCGAGGGTGGCGGTGTGGAAGGCAGTATTGGCGGGGGCTGAGATGGAGGCGAGGGTGGCGGCGTGGAAGGCGGTGTTGGCGGGGGCTGAGATTGGGGTGAGGGTGGCGGTGTGGAAGGCGGTGTTGGCGGGGGCTGAGATGGAGGCGAGGGTGGCGGTGTGGAAGGCAGTATTGGCGGGGGCTGAGATGGAGGCGAGGGTGGCGGCGTGGAAGGCGGTGTTGGCGGGGGCTGAGATGGAGGCGAGGGTGGCGGTGTGGAAGGCGGTGTTGGCGGGGGCTGAGATGGAGGCGAGGGTGGCGGTGTGGAAGGCGGTGTTGGCGGGGGCTGAGATGGAGGCGAGGGTGGCGGCGTGGAAGGCGGTGTTGGCGGGGGCTGAGATGGAGGCGAGGGTGGCGGCGTGGAAGGCGGTGTTGGCGGGGGCTGAGATGGAGGCGAGGGGGGCGGTGTGGAAGGCGGTGTTGGCGGGGGCTGAGATGGAGGCGAGGGTGGCGGTGTGGAAGGCGGTGTTGGCGGGGGCTGAGATGGAGGCGAGGGTGGCGGTGTGGAAGGCGGTGTTGGCGGGGGCTGAGATGGAGGCGAGGGCGGTGGCGTGGAAGGCGGTGTTGGCGGGGGCTGAGATGGAGGCGAGGGTGGCGGCGTGGAAGGCGGTGTTGGCGGGGGCTGAGATGGAGGCGAGGGTGGTGGCGTGGAAGGCGGTGTTGGCGGGGGCTGAGATGGAGGCGAGGGCGGTGGCGTGGAAGGCGGTGTTGGCGGGGGCTGAGATGGAGGCGAGGGCGGTGGCGTGGAAGGCGGTGTTGGCGGGGGCTGAGATGGAGGCGAGGGTGGTGGCGTGGAAGGCGGTGTTGGCGGGGGCTGAGATGGAGGCGAGGGTGGCGGTGTGGAAGGCGGTGTTGGCGGGGGCTGAGATGGAGGCGAGGGTGGCGGTGTGGAAGGCGGTGTTGGCGGGGGCTGAGATGGAGGCGAGGGTGGCGGCGTGGAAGGCGGTGTTGGCGGCGGCTGAGATGGAGGCAAGGGCGGTGGCGTGGAAGGCGGTGTTGGCGGGGGCTGAGATTGGGGTGAGGGTGGCGGCGTGGAAGGCGGTGTTGGCGGGGCCTGAGATGGAGGCGAGGGCGGTGGCGTGGAAGGCGGTGTTGGCGGGGGCTGAGATGGAGGCGAGGGTGGCGGTGTGGAAGGCGGTGTTGGCGGGGGCTGAGATGGAGGCGAGGGTGGCGGTGTGGAAGGCGGTGTTGGCGGGGGCTGAGATGGAGGCGAGCTTGGCGGTGTGGAAGGCGGTGTTGGCGGGGCCTGAGATGGAGGCGAGGGCGGTGGCGTGGAAGGCGGTGTTGGCGGGGGCTGAGATGGAGGCGAGGGTGGCGGTGTGGAAGGCGGTGTTGGCGGGGGCTGAGATGGAGGCGAGGGTGGCGGCGTGGAAGGCGGTGTTGGCGGGGGCTGAGATGGAGGCGAGGGTGGCGGTGTGGAAGGCGGTGTTGGCGGGGGCTGAGATGGAGGCGAGGGTGGCGGCGTGGAAGGCGGTGTTGGCGGGGGCTGAGATGGAGGCGAGGGTGGTGGTGTGGAAGGCGGTGTTGGCGGGGGCTGAGATGGAGGCGAGGGTGGTGGCGTGGAAGGCGGTGTTGGCGGGGGCTGAGATGGAGGCGAGGGTGGCGGCGTGGAAGGCGGTGTTGGCGGGGGCTGAGATGGAGGCGAGGGTGGCGGTGTGGAAGGCGGTGTTGGCGGGGGCTGAGATGGAGGCAAGGGCGGTGGCGTGGAAGGCGGTGTTGGCGGGGGCTGAGATTGGGGTGAGGGTGGCGGCGTGGAAGGCGGTGTTGGCGGGGGCTGAGATGGAGGCGAGGTTGGCGGTGTGGAAGGCGGTGTTGGCGGGGCCTGAGATGGAGGCGAGGGCGGTGGCGTGGAAGGCGGTGTTGGCGGGGGCTGAGATGGAGGCGAGGGTGGCGGTGTGGAAGGCGGTGTTGGCGGGGGCTGAGATGGAGGCGAGGGTGGCGGCGTGGAAGGCGGTGTTGGCGGGGGTTGAGATGGAGGCGAGGGTCGCGGTGTGGAAGGCAGTGTTGGCGGGGGCTGAGATAGTGGCGAGGGTGGTGGCGTGTAAGGCGGTGTTGGCGGGGGCTGAGATGGAGGCAAGGGCGGTGGCGTGGAAGGCGGTGTTGGCGGGGGCTGAGATGGAGGCGAGGGTGGCGGTGTGGAAGGCGGTGTTGGCGGGGGCTGAGATGGAGGCGAGGGCGGTGGCGTGGAAGGCGGTGTTGGCGGGGGCTGAGATGGAGGCGAGGGTGGCGGTGTGGAAGGCGGTTCTGGCGGGGGCTGAGATGGAGGCGAGGGTGGCGGCGTGGAATGCGGTGTTGGCGGGGGCTGAGATGGAGGCGAGGGTGGCGGCGTGGAAGGCGGTGTTGGCGGGGGCTGAGATGGAGGCAAGGGCGGTGGCGTGGAAGGCGGTGTTGGCGGGGGCTGAGATTGGGGTGAGGGTGGCGATGTGGAAGGCGGTGTTGGCGGGGGCTGAGATGGAGGCGAGGGTGGCGGTGTGGAAGGCGTCGTTGGCGTGGGCTGAGATGGAGGCGAGGGTGGCGGTGTGGAAGGCGGTGTTGGCGGGGGCTGAGATGGAGGCGAGGGTGGCGGTGTGGAAGGCGGTGTTGGCGGGGGCTGAGATGGAGGCGAGGGTGGCGGTGTGGAAGGCAGTATTGGCGGGGGCTGAGATGGAGGCGAGGGTGGCGGCGTGGAAGGCGGTGTTGGCGGGGGCTGAGATGGAGGCGAGGGTGGCGGTGAGGAAGGCGGTGTTGGCGGGGGCTGAGATGGAGGCGAGGGTGGCGGTGTGGAAGGCGGTGTTGGCGGGGGCTGAGATGGAGGCGAGGGTGGCGGTGTGGAAGGCAGTATTGGCGGGGGCTGAGATGGAGGCGAGGGTGGCGGCGTGGAAGGCGGTGTTGGCGGGGGCTGAGATGGAGGCGAGGGTGGTGGTGTGGAAGGCGGTGTTGGCGGGGGCTGAGATGGAGGCGAGGGTGGTGGCGTGGAAGGCGGTGTTGGCGGGGTCTGAGATGGAGGCGAGGGTGGCGGCGTGGAAGGCGGTGTTGGCGGGGGCTGAGATGGAGGCGAGGGTGGCGGCGTGGAAGGCGGTGTTGGCGGGGGCTGAGATGGAGGCGAGGGCGGCGGTGTGGAAGGCGGTATTGGCGTGGGCTGAGATGGAGGCGAGGGTGGCGGTGTGGAAGGCGGTGTTGGCGGGGGCTGAGATGGAGGCGAGGGTGGCGGTGTGGAAGGCGGTGTTGGCGGGGGCTGAGATGGAGGCGAGGGTGGCGGTGTGGAAGGCAGTATTGGCGGGGGCTGAGATGGAGGCGAGGGTGGCGGCGTGGAAGGCGGTGTTGGCGGGGGCTGAGATGGAGGCGAGGGTGGTGGTGTGGAAGGCGGTGTTGGCGGGGGCTGAGATGGAGGCGAGGGTGGTGGCGTGGAAGGCGGTGTTGGCGGGGGCTGAGCTGGAGGCGAGGGTGGCGGCGTGGAAGGAGGTGTTGGCGGGGGCTGAGATGGAGGCGAGGGCGGTGGCGTGGAAGGCGGTGTTGGCGGGGGCTGAGATGGAGGCAAGGGCGGTGGCGTGGAAGGCGGTGTTGGCGGGGGCTGAGATGGAGGCGAGGGTGGCGGTGTGGAAGGCGGTGTTGGCGGGGGCTGAGATGGAGGCGAGGGTGGCGGCGTGGAAGGCGGTGTTGGCGGGGGCTGAGATGGAGGCAAGGGCGGCGGTGTGGGAGGCGGTGTTGGCGGGGGCTGAGATGGAGGCGAGGGTGGCGGTGTGGAAGGCGGTATTGGCGGGGGCTGAGATGGAGGCGAGGGTGGCGGTGTGGAAGGCGGTGTTGGCGGGGGCTGAGATGGAGGCGAGGGCGGTGGCGTGGAAGGCGGTGTTGGCGGGGGCTGAGATGGAGGCGAGGGTGGCGGTGTGGAAGGCGTCGTTGGCGGGGGCTGAGATAGTGGCGAGGGTGGTGGCGTAAAAGGCGGTGTTGGCGGGGGCTGAGATGGAGGCGAGGGTGGCGGCGTGGAAGGCGGTGTTGGCGGGGGCTGAGATGGAGGCGAGGGTGGCGGCGTGGAAGGCGGTGTTGGCGGGGGCTGAGATGGAGGCGAGGGCGGTGGTGTGGAAGGCAGTATTGGCGGGGGCTGAGATGGAGGCGAGGGTGGCGGTGTGGAAGGCGTTGTTGGCGGGGGCTGAGATGGAGGCGAGGGTGGCGGTGTGGAAGGCGGTGTTGGCGGGGGCTGAGATGGAGGCGAGGGTGGCGGTGTGGAAGGCGGTGTTGGCGGGGGCTGAGATGGAGGCGAGGGTGGCGGTGTGGAAGGCGGTATTGGCGGGGTCTGAGATGGAGGCGAGGGTGGCGGCGTGGAAGGCGGTGTTGGCGGGGGCTGAGATGGAGGCGAGGGTGGCGGCGTGGAAGGCGGTGTTGGCGGGGGCTGAGATGGAGGCGAGGGCGGTGGCGTGGAAGGCAGTATTGGCGGGGGCTGAGATGGAGGCGAGGGTGGCGGTGTGGAAGGCGTTGTTGGCGGGGGCTGAGATGGAGGCGAGGGTGGCGGTGTGGAAGGCGGTGTTGGCGGGGGCTGAGATGGAGGCGAGGGTGGCGGTGTGGAAGGCGGTGTTGGCGGGGGCTGAGATGGAGGCGAGGGTGGCGGTGTGGAAGGCGGCGTTGGCGGGGGCTGAGATGGAGGCGAGGGTGGCGGTGTGGAAGGCGGTATTGGCGGGGGCTGAGATGGAGGCGAGGGTGGTGGCGTGGAAGGCGGTGTTGGCGGGGGCTGAGATGGAGGCGAGGGCGGTGGCGTGGAAGGCGGTGTTGGCGGGGGCTGAGATGGAGGCAAGGGCGGCGGTGTGGGAGGCGGTGTTGGCGGGGGCTGAGATGGAGGCGAGGGTGGCGGTGTGGAAGGCGGTATTGGCGGGGGCTGAGATGGAGGCGAGGGTGGCGGTGTGGAAGGCGGTGTTGGCGGGGGCTGAGATGGAGGCGAGGGCGGTGGCGTGGAAGGCGGTGTTGGCGGGGGCTGAGATGGAGGCGAGGGTGGCGGTGTGGAAGGCGTCGTTGGCGTGGGCTGAGATGGAGGCGAGGGTGGCGGTGTGGAAGGCGGTGTTGGCGGGGGCTGAGATGGAGGCGAGGGTGGCGGTGTGGAAGGCGGTGTTGGCGGGGGCTGAGATGGAGGCGAGGGCGGTGGCGTGGAAGGCGGTGTTGGCGGGGGCTGAGATGGAGGCGAGGGTGGTGGCGTGGAAGGCGGTGTTGGCGGGGGCTGAGATGGAGGCGAGGGTGGCGGTGTGGAAGGCGGTATTGGCGGGGGCTGAGCTGGAGGCGAGGGTGGCGGCGTGGAAGGCGGTGTTGGCGGGGGCTGAGATGGAGGCGAGGGCGGCGGTGTGGAAGGCGGTATTGGCGGGGGCTGAGATGGAGGCGAGGGTGGCGGTGTGGAAGGCGTCGTTGGCGTGGGCTGAGATGGAGGCGAGGGTGGCGGTGTGGAAGGCGGTGTTGGCGGGGGCTGAGATGGAGGCGAGGGTGGTGGTGTGGAAGGCGGTGTTGGCGGGGGCTGAGATGGAGGCGAGGGTGGCGGTGTGGAAGGCGTCGTTGGCGGGGGCTGAGATGGAGGCGAGGGTGGCGGTGTGGAAGGCGGTATTGGCGGGGGCTGAGATGGAGGCGAGGGTGGTGGCGTGGAAGGCGGTGTTGGCGGGGGCTGAGATGGAGGCGTGGGTGGCGGTGTGGAAGGCGGTATTGGCGGGGGCTGAGATGGAGGCGAGGGTGGCGGCGTGGAAGGCGGTGTTGGCGTGGGCTGAGATGGAGGCGAGGGTGGCGGCGTGGAAGGCGGTGTTGGCGGGGGCTGAGATGGAGGCGAGGGCGGCGGCGTGGAAGGCAGTGTTGGCGGGGGCTGAGATGGAGGCGAGGGTGGCGGTGTCGAAGGCGGCGTTGGCGTGGGCTGAGATGGAGGCGAGGGTGGCGGTGTGGAAGGCGGTGTTGGCGGGGGCTGAGATGGAGGCGAGGGTGGCGGTGTGGAAGGCGGTGTTGGCGGGGGCTGAGATGGAGGCGAGGGTGGCGGTGTGGAAGGCGGTATTGGCGGGGTCTGAGATGGAGGCGAGGGTGGCGGCGTGGAAGGCGGTGTTGGCGGGGGCTGAGATGGAGGCGAGGGTGGCGGCGTGGAAGGCGGTGTTGGCGGGGGCTGAGATGGAGGCGAGGGCGGTGGCGTGGAAGGCAGTATTGGCGGGGGCTGAGATGGAGGCGAGGGTGGCGGTGTGGAAGGCGGTATTGGCGTGGGCTGAGATGGAGGCGAGGGTGGCGGTGTGGAAGGCGGTGTTGGCGGGGGCTGAGATAGAGGCGAGGGTGGCGGTGTGGAAGGCGGTGTTGGCGGGGGCTGAGATGGAGGCGAGGGTGGCGGTGTGGAAGGCGGCGTTGGCGGGGGCTGAGATGGAGGCGAGGGTGGCGGTGTGGAAGGCGGTATTGGCGGGGGCTGAGATGGAGGCGAGGGTGGTGGCGTGGAAGGCGGTGTTGGCGGGGGCTGAGATGGAGGCGAGGGCGGTGGCGTGGAAGGCGGTGTTGGCGGGGGCTGAGATGGAGGCGAGGGCGGCGGTGTGGAAGGCGGTGTTGGCGGGGGCTGAGATGGAGGCGAGGGTGGCGGTGTGGAAGGCGGTATTGGCGGGGGCTGAGATGGAGGCGAGGGTGGCGGTGTGGAAGGCGGTGTTGGCGGGGGCTGAGATGGAGGCGAGGGCGGTGGCGTGGAAGGCGGTGTTGGCGGGGGCTGAGATGGAGGCGAGGGTGGCGGTGTGGAAGGCGTCGTTGGCGTGGGCTGAGATGGAGGCGAGGGTGGCGGTGTGGAAGGCGGTGTTGGCGGGGGCTGAGATGGAGGCGAGGGTGGCGGTGTGGAAGGCGGTGTTGGCGGGGGCTGAGATGGAGGCGAGGGCGGTGGCGTGGAAGGCGGTGTTGGCGGGGGCTGAGATGGAGGCGAGGGTGGTGGCGTGGAAGGCGGTGTTGGCGGGGGCTGAGATGGAGGCGAGGGTGGCGGTGTGGAAGGCGGTATTGGCGGGGGCTGAGCTGGAGGCGAGGGTGGCGGCGTGGAAGGCGGTGTTGGCGGGGGCTGAGATGGAGGCGAGGGCGGCGGTGTGGAAGGCGGTATTGGCGGGGGCTGAGATGGAGGCGAGGGTGGCGGTGTGGAAGGCGTCGTTGGCGTGGGCTGAGATGGAGGCGAGGGTGGCGGTGTGGAAGGCGGTGTTGGCGGGGGCTGAGATGGAGGCGAGGGTGGTGGCGTGGAAGGCGGTGTTGGCGGGGGCTGAGATGGAGGCGAGGGTGGCGGTGTGGAAGGCGTCGTTGGCGGGGGCTGAGATGGAGGCGAGGGTGGCGGTGTGGAAGGCGGTATTGGCGGGGGCTGAGATGGAGGCGAGGGTGGTGGCGTGGAAGGCGGTGTTGGCGGGGGCTGAGATGGAGGCGAGGGTGGCGGTGTGGAAGGCGGTGTTGGCGGGGGCTGAGATGGAGGCGAGGGCGGTGGCGTGGAAGGCGGTGTTGGCGGGGGCTGAGATGGAGGCGAGGGTGGTGGCGTGGAAGGCGATGTTGGCGGGGGCTGAGATGGAGGCGAGGGTGGCGGTGAGGAAGGCGGTATTGGCGGGGGCTGAGATGGAGGCGAGGGTGGCGGTGTGGAAGGCGGTGTTGGTGCGGCTGTGGGAGGTTGTACGACCCCATGGGATGTAGTGGTTGCAGGCATTGGCGATGACGGGTGCAAAACGGTTACTTTTGTGACAAGTACTTCAGATACGTCGTAGGTCGCCATGAACTGCGGCGAAAATAGGGCACCAGCATCGTGCCGCTGTAACTGCTCAGAGAACGCTTCAGGTGACTGGTTTTCTGGCGGCCATAAGGTAAAGCCAACAATAACGCTGCCGGGTCGGACATACTCCACAGAGCACCGCTGGGCGTCAGTGTTGGCCTGCATGGCAAGGCGTATGATGTGAAGTAAGAAACGTTCATGTGGACATCAGCAGAGCAGCGAGAGAAACCATACCTGTAGGTCAAGGCAGGCTTGTAGCTTAAAAGCATCAAGCTGTGCAACATTTGAAGCAAGCGTACTGTAATCAATACCAAAATGAAGCTCGCTAACCACATGGGGTGGCTCCGTAGGGGGAGGAAAGGCTGGCTGAGGTGATGTTACGGGCAATGGAGGGGGTAAAGGCCATGGCGAATGTGATGAGAGAGGCAGTGGCGGCGGAGATGGCGGCAACACAACCAGCTCTGCAGGGAGAGGAAGAGCATTATGTAACAACTAACAGTGTTAATCCTTGGACAGCAATAAGGTGGTGAGCCATAAACCACGCACCAGTTTTGCGTTATCGTATGTACTGACAGCCTGTTTAGGCTACCTAACGCACCCCCTAGCTAGCATGAACCCCACCTGGCTTGGAAGTGTAAAAGCAAGTCCCAGCCTTGTAGACAGTGGGAACGCTCGACGGCTTGGGGCAAAGTTGGTGTGTGAAGGCATTATATGAAAATCCGACACACCAGCCGTATTGACTGCAGGCGCCTTGGACATCTTGAACAGGGTCGTAACTGGTGCGACAGTGACCCGCCATGTCAAGGTTATCAACTACGTCGTCTGACAAGTAATCCGCGTTCGCAATGGCTGTATAGCCCACAATAGCTGGGCATGCACCTGCAGACATGACGCATACATTCAATTGTCGTACATCGGCAACTGACACCGTATGTGATGGCAAGATTCGCCAGGCAACTAACGGATAAGCGCCAATACTGGGTGTGCGACATCCATTAATGCTGCTGCTAACTCCCTAGGAAATGCCTATGCTGGCTGTGCGCGTCTGATTGCGTAGCATGCTTTGACGAGCCAGCTGCCGTCCAAAGGGGAAGGGCCATGGCGGTCGGAACCCAGCCACACTGACTATGTCTGCTGTTTGCCCCATGTACGGCATCTATCAGAGCATCAAGCTAAGCAAAGCCACACGGCATACTTGCATTCCCAGGTGATACACCAGTAAGCAGCCCAGTAAGCAAACCCACCAGCAGACACCGGCAACGGTGTATACCAGCAGCTTCCTCTGGTTTGGATCATGTGGTTGCTTGTACTGCTGCTGGCACGGTAGCAGACGTCGTTGTACAAGCTACTGAACGCAGCCGATGTAACAGAGAAGCCCTTGCAGTCCGGTTGAATGTGGTTGCATCCTTGTGCTCCCCCGGTGATTGTGGCGTTACCGGTGTACAGCGTGTCACAATACTCGTACGGACTACCGCTAGAGGTGTAAGAGGCGTCCGGAGATGCGCTGAACCCAGGGATCGGGTAGCAATATGTGCCTGCGCGCATACGGTATTTCGCATGCATAACTGGCAGCTAATGTAAAGAAATCAAGTAAGCAACATGCGTGGACGGAACACCATGCCAGTTGCCGATTAATGTGGGGAGCTGTATGTGGGCCGTAAGCAAGGCAGGCAGGTCTGACGGCATGGCGTGCGTGGACACGCATGCATGCAAGATTTGAAACGTCCATTACTGATAAGTCCACGTAAGAATGCGAAGGTTACAAGGGGGACCGGAGCTCCTGGAAGCCACGTAAGACAAACATCCTGCTGGCACAAGTCGCACAACCAATAAGCGGGTAAGCTATGCACGCACCTTTTGCGTAGAAGCAGGCTCCCTCCTTGTATTGTAAGGGCCCATTACTGTCCAACTTGCAGGCATACTGTTGTACAACCGGGTAGTACACAATGGAAGAGCAGTTCCTCTCAGCCGTACACGTGGCAGCAACCGATGTAAGGTTAGCTGTCGTTGTACATCGTTGGGTTTGATCGTAGCTGTGCGTGCTCAGGTCACTTGGACGGTACTCGTAGTCGAGGATGCGCGTGTATCCGTCAAGCACCGGGCAGCCTCGCACTGCATTCATTACAACACACAGGAGAACACAGATTGCACAAATAAATATCTACAGATTGAGGACTGGACAGACGCCGCATGCATGCATGCTGTCTTCATGCAGGCTGGCAGGCAGGCACCATCCAGGCAAACGTGAAAAAGCTGAGATGTACAGGACAAGAACAGACAGTCACAATCACGCACCGTACAACGCCTTCAGTGGCGAATACAGGCAGCTCCCAGGCGCGCTCCTCTTATAACCTGCCGTACGCTGACATAGCATGGATGTACCTGACCCCTTGGAGATCACAGAGAAACCAACGCAGCTGCTAGCCTCAACAAGGCATGCCTTAAGCGCATAGCTGTAATCCGCCTCAGTCAGGTTTCCACCAAACGAGGTGCAGTTGGTGTACTCAAAACTCCCACTGCTTCCAATGATATCTGTGTCAGCAGTTACGTTGCACCCAGGAAGCGAAGGGCACGTAGAATCACCTGCAGCATCCCGTGAGCATACATGCACTTTCTGTTACTGGGAGTAACAACTGGCAAAAGACAGTCGGGCATGCTAGTTCATTCCGCTTGGTGCTTTGCCAAACGAGGAGCCCAGTCATGCCCCGGAACCGTCTGTAACAGCAGACACCCACGTGTGGGCAGGAAGGCGCGAATGTAGAGACCCTGGCCAGGGGCAGCAAAGGTATTGGGGGCGGCCGCCAGCAGTGACAGGTTGGCCACCGACTTGAACTCCTGCGGGAGGGATGCCGTCGGGGGGACAGCAGGGTGCCTGTGTTAAGAAAACTGGCAGGGTGCTTGTGTTAGAATAACTGGGTGCCTGTGTATGTGCGCCAGGAATAATCACTCTCCCGCATGGATGGTCCCGTGCAGGCAACTGCCTACCAGCTACTCCTGATAAAGTGAGCTCCACGTGTCAACCAAAGTCTTACAGCAGGCATACAAGCCGCTGCCAGGTCACATCCTTCCTGCTTCGTCAAGCCCCTTTCCCACCTACACGCATGTACGGACGTCTGCGGCCCCCCACCGGGTAATGCTGTGCTACAACTAATACGATGGAAACAACTAAGCCTCACTTGGTTGGTATTGAAGGCGAGGCATTCAGGGTCGCTCAAGCACATGTCCGCCAGAGCGGGAGCATTGCCTCCATTGCCGTACACGTCAGGGAGTTCAGTCCCCCTGGCGTAGGTACTCCCACTACCGTCATCCAGCAGATCCTGACCCTCATAGAAGCAAAAGGCATCCAGGGGCTGGCCTGTACCTGCGAGAGCATAGAATCACACCATAACATGTAGGGCGGGCCACGATGCGCAAATCGCTTACGGGCAAGCACTGGGTTTAGATAACCACTGCTGTACACCGACGGGGTTGCTGCGTTTTTAGGAGCAAAGGACGGGGCATATACGTTGCATCTTGCTGGGTCCGTCGCTTCGCTTGTACAAGGAATCCGGCCAGCGCACGAGGACGGAAAATGCATTGGTTAATCATAATGACAGCAGGGGGGGGTAAGAAATTTTCTTATAAACCCCAACCCGAAATTTCCAAAGAGAAGGCCTCGGAGCCACCCACCCACCGCCAAGCGTGTCGTACAACCTGTAAACTATGCCAAAACGCCGGGGAAAAAAGCGTCTAGGTTCCTCTGCGCAAGCTCTATTAAATGCAGTCGAAAAACCCCAAACCCCCTGGGAAGTTAATGTCACAGCGTTGCACTATGGACGGCTAAGGTAACCATGTTCTTGGCCCCAGCTTGACTGATGTTATGTATTTGGCGCCTTGGAAGCACCACGGCCCTTCCATTTGCGCCATACCACCGCAGTTCTGTTTTCACCAACCGAGACAACGGCGCCACCACGTTCCAGGTCCCTGCTCCTGCCTCTTCTTCCCCCTGTGGCACTGGGCCCTCGACCATAGCCCCTGGTACCAATTCCCACGCCTTCTTGTTTCTGTGCTCAGCATCCCCACCCCATTCGTGGTCACTGTAAGTGCTTTCTCGCAGCTCAGTCTGTCTACTCCAACCCCGCATCCTCAGTCGTGCTCCACATCCATGGGGACACGCGACATGCTGCTATGCTAGGCCTTTACAAAGGGCCGACTAGCCGCGTTCGCAATATATGTTTTCTACATAAGTTGTTTCTTGTACGTTTGGGGATTGGGCAGTCCCGTTCGGCTACCGTGGTTCAGAGGTGAAGTGTCATTGCAACATCGGAAGCCGAGAAGTGACCATTTTGTTTATAGAACTAGTTCTGTGTATAAGAAACGAAGAAAGGATGGCAATACAGCTTTCAAAACACTAACATGAGGCCTGGAAAAAATTTTCCGGAGGTTCATGTAAAAAAGTCGTTGGGGCCCTGAACCCACCCACCCACCCCTGCCGTACCACCAACTTTGCAAGCCCATAACTTTTTCCGTACAACTCTAAACAGAAATCTGAAAACAGATTCGGAATCCCCACGCAAAACTCCTTCGATTTGAGGGTTGGGGTCTATTTTTGCGGTTCTTACCCCCCCTGATGACAGCCCTGCACTGCAACGGGCTTGGTGCAGCTTCCTAAGGGCTTGGTGGACAGATTAGGCAACATACCGACCTTTGGGTCGCAGCACGTAGGTTCCCTGCACTAGCGTGGTGTAGGAGGCCGTGGCGGGCTGCATGGCCTCGGAACCAGCGGACTTGAGCCATCCGTCGCTGGTGAACGCCAGACACCCCGTTGTAGCGACACATGCCTCTGCTGCCGCCTGGATGTGGGCACGAGTTGTCCTGTTGCCCAAAGGGCACATCCCCGGTGAATCCGTGAAGCATTTGATGTCATGGCCCATGATCTCTTGCTTTGGGTAGGCGCAAAATGAGCCAACAGCAAGGAGACCTGCAGAGTAAATGATACGTAAGAAGATGCTGCCGTAAGCAAGCCGTGCGTGAAACAAAGAAAGACGAAGCACGCATGGTTACCTAAAGAGCCTTACCAACGGGTGCCGGGGGAGGAGGGCTCGGCGGCGATGGGCTGGGCGGCTTTGGGGGTGCAGGGGGCTTGGGACTAGGCGGATTGGGGCTAAGAGGAGGAGCAGTAGGTGTTCTAGGAGGCGAGGGGCTGGGCGACAGCGGGCTCGGCGGACTAGGAGGTACAGGGCTTGGAGGGGCTGCGTGCAAGAGGCGAAAGCAGCAGGAAGGACTTCAATCAGTTGCCTTGCCTGAGAACTGAACCCCTTGCCTTGTAGTAGGCAAGGACAGGAAGGCTTTGGGAAAAGGTACGTGAGCAGCGGGCATGCACGTACGGGCACGGACGGCTAATACTCACGTGCAGGCAGCATCGCCTTGAGGTAGACACCCTGTCCCCCAGCCTTAAAGACGGAGGGCAGCGGCCTTAGAAGCGACATGTCCGCGGTGGTCTTCAAGTACTGCGTTGTCGGATGGGTGCATGCAACCCCGTGATTTTGCGGTACACCGGCTGTACGACTGGGGCATGTACGACAATGTGACACCCTGTCACCCTTGCGCCCATTGACAGTACGGATGCTACCACATGCGCACTGCCAGGGAATGTCCTTATCATTCTGGTTTACGTACCCACTTACATGCACGTACGGAAGCATGAGCACCTACCTGCAGCGTATTGAACCCCAAGCAGCCAGGGGTACTACTGCAGTTTCTTGCCAGGGCCTCAGCGTTGCTGCCATCATAGTAGGTATCCGGGTAGACGCTCAGCCTGGCTAATGTGTTTTTGTGGATGTCCTGACTCTGGTAGAAGCAGTAGTCCGCCAAAGGGCCAAGGCCTACATACAATGCAGAAATGTAAGGTCAGGCTCTCAGGCATAGTTCCGCAGCGGCTTTGGGACGGCAGGAATTAAGCCTAGTGGTTACCACAAGCGGGATAGGCTGCGGGGTTACCGGAATAAAGCAATTGTCCAAGGTGCCGTATAAAGCGGATGGAGGAGAACCGAGTAAAAGAGAATTACCCCGCCAGCGTACGATTTCTCATTAGCTGTGCACTATTCCCAGCACTGGCGGCAGTACCACTCGATGCACGGTGGGCAAATCAGAGGCGCTTGTGCGGGTGTTCCATGCACGTTGGGTTCTGCATGGCATGGAGTGAATGGGGCAGATGCCGCGTGACTGGAGCTTACCCGTCCTAAGAAGGTAAAGACCTTGGAATGGGCCTGTAGACATGGCCTTAGGAGACGCAAAGGCTTGTTGACTCGTAGATTTGAGCCTGGGAATTCGGCGTGGTGGAAAGGAGGGTGCATGAACAGGTTTTGCCATCCTCCTTCAACATCAATATCAGAAGTGGAACCACCTAGACGGATATAACCCGGTAGGTGCAAGACATCAGATTTGCTGCGTGCAAGTTGCGGCATGCATGCGACTCTAAACGTGCTGTTGTCAAACACAGCATCCTACCATCCCTCAGACGAGAACCCCTTGCAGCCATCGTTAGCCAGGCATGCTTCTGCCATCGCATGTAGAGCTGCCAAGTTAAGGTTGGTGTGAGGCACGGGGCAAGCGCCAGTCGCATTGATGTAGCAGGCTATGTCAAAGCCGTAGATGTCTCGGTTGGGATAGCGGCAGAAGCTTGCAAGCGCGTAGTAGCCTGAACGAGGATTAAGGGGAAATTTTACATAGTACGAGCGGTCAAGCAAGGGAGGCAAAGACGTCGAGGTAAGAGGAGAAGGGGCTCTTTAAGACCAGGTCAATGCATAACACGTCTGTTTCCTCTTGTGCAGGAAGCAAGCAACGGCTTGACTGTGAGGTGAACGGCTCAGCAGCCCGTTAAGTAGCGTATGCGTAACAGCGTAAAAAGAGCGTATGTATCCGTAACAAGGAGACGTATAGCCCAACTGCATATAGGTATTCATGCAAGCGTCGATAAGGGCACGAGCTCTTACCCAGTGGCGCTACGGGGAAAAAAGCGTCCAGCTGCATCTGCGCCAGTACTCGCCGACCGCCATTACCAATCCTAAGTGAATTGTTAATCGCAATCGCTGCTGATAAAGAGATAAGCACTAAAATGAGCGCAACATGCATTGCCAGGCATTTCGTCCGACAGCCTGTTAACTGCTTGCACGCCATATAGGCGTTTCCTTTTGCTCTGCGATCTGAAAACCTGTGTAGATGTCATTCATTGGTTCATCAAAGCCAACGCGCTCATACAGTAGCTAGGCTGCGACGCAGCTGGCACGGCTCAATATCAATGTTTAATACTGGAAACCTTTTTCAAACAGCGTTTTTTACTGTCGCACTGATAGGCACTGAGAGTTAGGCCTGCCAAGTTGGCATCGCCACCCAAATCAACTACCGTACGGTAGATCCCGTTGGACGATATTTGCTTACGCATTTGATAATATGTGGACTAATTTCTCCATACCGAAAGGAATGTTGCAGCTGAGAACTGTTACAGATGGGAACAACAATTTTATTTACAAGACATACACATCCGATCCATGTTTGTGTGGCGTAATTTCTTCGTTCTTGCATTAGCTCTCATCGGCATCTCTATTTCTACGAGTACCGCTTTATCTGTGCAGAGCGATTGACCTGTGGTTCTACCAAATCCTTGCTCGTCCACGGTATGGACGATTACCTGAATTACGACTACAACATTCAGCGTTCTTGCGGCGGTTTTCCAGCAGCTGGCCGAGCTAGGGAATATAATGGCATTTACAGCAGCAGCATAATTTACCAGGAATTGCCATCCTCAACCGCCGGCCCAGAACGAACGGGAATGTCAAAACGAACAGGAATGTTCCCAAGCAGTTCCCATCATCCTCGGGCGTGTAGGAAGTCTATCAGGGCAGTCTATCAGGGAAGTCTATCAGGGCAGCCCGGATTCATGGTCAGCAAATCTCCATCCATCCAGATGGTTCGATCACGGCATGTCCGCTTGCACGGGATCGGAGTACGACTTACTCCACCCCTTCTTTGATAAGATGGTGTTAATGTAGGCGTAGTACTTGCACAACACTGCATGCCCAGCCGATGAAGCTGAGGAAAACAGGGGCTACGTGAAATTTGCAAATCATTTTGGCATCGCCCTGTGGCAGCAAAGTGGGGCTTCGGGCTAAGCTGTTAGGATGCGGATTGTTGCGATGGGGCCACGTCGCGCGCTGACCGGCGAGAGAGATCGGCAAGCGGTTAGTCGCCAACGCCGGAATAGCCGCGAGAGACGTCAAAAATGTATGTTGTATTGAACTATACTGGTTGAACTAAAAGAGAGCAAGGGAAGACGGCGCGCCGAACCATGGGTCCGGCCGCGAGGGATTGCTGCTGCGAGAGCTACGTACTTTACAAGAGCCTTGTCGGTACCTGTACTTACAGCGCGTAATTGACTCGCTGTTACCTTTCCTATTTACCAGTAACGGTTGGATTACTAATAACGTAACGGCCGAGCGAAGCGAGGCCGTACTGTTCGCGATGGGATTGTGGTACGAAGCCTGATGACTCAGCAGGGGTTTTGGTATTTCCTGGTAGAGGGGCCCCTGATATAGCTGTTTGCCTTGTTGGATAGAGGATCTGAGGCTGTTCTTGCTGCGCATAGGGAATAACCCTCCGAGGGTTTGTGCCAGTAAGTGTTTCAGTCTGGTTGACGTCATGCTGACATCATGATGACGCAACATTGTCACTCTAGGGAGGGTCCCTGCCTTCAGTATAAATACCGGGGCCTTTTCCAGGGTTGAGAAGACCTGTTAGAGACCTATCCGTGGTCGTACCTGTGCAGGGCTATCCGTCCTTGTGTCCAGGACTATCAGGCTTCCAGGAACGGGCCTGTAAACCCGCTTTGAACAGGCTATAACACTTGTAAGGTCAGAGCATCTTCAAGTGCTACGCCGTCGTGTCTCCCAGGGCTTCGCCGGCGCCTTCCAGGCTTCCAGCCGCCCGGACTGCAAGCGCCCAGCCCAGAACCGGTTAGGGCTCAGCTTCGCTAGGCCCGTACTGTTACCGCAATTGCCAGACCTGAGGCGAGGGCCGTAGGCCCGAGCCCTGCACCCGAACGCCGCAGGACTAGGCTTTGTACCTATTCCTAGCCTCAGAAACGAGCTCGGTCGCAGTAGTTAGCCTTTGCCGTACACATTGCCAGGGGTTGGCTAGCGCGAGGGCATTGCACACAGCCGCTAGTGCGCCGCAACCAGCCAATAGCCTCTGCCACACCACGCTAGGCTAGGACGGTAGCAGCGCAGTGCAATCGTCTTCATACGGGCACTGCGTGGGTCGTACAGCACTAGCACCCTGGGCACAATAGCCGACGGCCAGCAGCATCAGTTCCTTAGGGGGTTACACACCCGCAAAAATTTTCGTCAGGATGGTGTACTGGTCGTAGGGCGTTCCCTGGTATCGAGACCAGGTCGCTATCTGCCGTACGGCACCCCGTCTTCAGCCCTTCAGCATGGACGGAGAGGCCGCTGTCCCGCCGGTGGTAGGCGCAGCTGCCCCAGGTGTCCCGCACCCTTCCTGCCTCAGCGCCGTGCCTATTTACCGCCCCGGCGACAATGCACGGCAGTGGGTTACGCAACTGGAGCAGGCGGCCGAGCTGTTTGCTTGGCCGGATCCTATCAAGCTTCGGCTGGCTGTTTGCCGGCTGGGTAACGGTGCTGCGACCTGGCATGCTGGAGTCAAGACCGCCGTCGGCACGTGGGCCGTTTTCAAGGACGCCTTCCTTGAGCGGTTTGACGTCGATAAGGAGGAGTTGTACAGCCGGTTGACCCGCTGCCGCCAGGAGAGGGGCGAGTCGGTGCGCGCCTATTCTGACCGGTACCGGGATCTGGCGGCCCAGCTGCAGGTGGATATCTCAGCCGACCCTATCCATCTGTACAACTTCGTACAAGGCCTACTGCCCAAGGTCCGCAGCAAGGTTTACCTGATGAAGCCCGCCACTCTGGAGGAGGCTATCAAGGACGCCATCTACGTTAGCGGAGGCATGGAGCGTCACATTATCCAAGATGACGGCGGCGGCCTCGGATTCCCTGCTCTTCCGCGGCGCGGCGACGGACCCCGGCCGGAGGAGCGCCCCAGCGACCGCCGACTCAAGTGGCAAGACCGTCGGGATTGTCCGCTCGGCGCGCTGCCCGCGGGGCAGCGGCGCGAGCCGATTCAGGGACCACCTAACCACCCCGGCGACCGTTACCGACGGGAGAATGGGCCGGCGGCAGGGGTGCCTCTTAAGGCCGCCGGCGGTTCTTTGCTGGAGTCGCAGGTGGCAGACCTCTCTAAACAGTTGGCCCGCATGCAGCTGTATATGGACAGCATGCAGGCAGCTTACTACTGCACCCCGGTCAGCTGCCAGCCGTCACTTGCGGAGGAGGACAGGCGAGCCCAGGGGGCACCAGCCGACGCACCGGACCCAGGCGCCGCCAGCAGGCGGGTGGCCGTTCCCAACCCCGGGCACTGTCCTCAGCAGCAGCAGGCTGCAGCGGCCACGGGCACAGCGGCCACGCAGCAGGGTGCCGCGCGTTCCGGGGGCGAGCCAGTTTCACCTGAGCCGGCCGAGACCAAGGGAATGGTCAACAGCGGGGTGCGCGGTGCCAGTGGGGTTGTACGGTCACCAGTGGATTGGACAGCAGCCTTTCGGCCAAGGCGGCGGCCCGTTAAGCGCTCAGACCGTGCGGACCCTGTCCCAGCGACTGCCAAGCTCGAGGGCACGGCCATGGCGGCCCCCAGTACCACGAACGCTGCCCCCACCGGCATCTGTGCCAGGGGGGAGCAACGGGAGGCACCAGCGGTCCCTCCAGCTTCAACGGCATCTGGCGGCAACACAATGGGTCAGCGGCAGCCGGAGGTCCTCTTCGGTGAGGAAACGAGCTTGGAGGACAGCGAAAAGAGGGCGGATATGGTACTTCTGGCGGAGTCAGCGGGGCCACGCGAGGGGCTACGGCCTCCGTCGCCCACATCCGCTGGCATGGAAGCTAGTGGCAGCTCCGGCAACGGCGACGACGACGGCAGCGGTGTCGGCTCCAGTGCGGGGCTGCCGATAGGAGGCGAGGACACGGGCGGGGCTCGTGAGGCCCCACCTCCCTGTTCGGGCTCTTCTGGCTCTGGGGAGGCGGGCGGCGCCGTGCCAGGTCGCGGATTCGGCACAGACCAGGGCAGCGGCAGGCAGCAAGCCACTCCGGAGGACACTGACGTAGCCCCGGATCCCCTTCGGAGGCGCCCGGCTCCAGCGGTGGCAGTGGTTTCGGGTGAGCCCGCTGGTGGACCGGCAGCAGGGATAGAGGAGGCGGGCAGCGGAGCAGGGGCTCGCAGCAGTCCTTCTACCGCTCTTAGTTGTGGGCGTGGAGTTCTCGAGGGCCCTTACAGCGACGTTTTCGGTGTCAGCCCTTACGCGGTCGCAGCCCACTACCCCGTGATGGGGGAGGGTAGCGACACGCGACCAGCACGCGACGGCTGGGTAGGGGCTCCTGATGGGGTGGCGCCGGGTGGAATGGAACAGGTGGAGGCTCCGACCCTTGGCATCCAAGCAGCGGGCATGGAAGCTTCCGTTCTGGAGGGAGAGCCCAGCCCAGCGGAGCTCTGGCGCATTACATCCTGTCCACCGCCGGGAGGTGGCTGGGAGAGCCAGGCAACCCGACAGCCGACTGACTTCAGGGCTTCAATGAAGCTAAGATCAGACCAGGAGTCGCGGGATAGTACAGCCAGCAACGTGGGGCCTCACCACAGTGCGGAGGAACCCCCGCATGGCCGTCCTCTTGACTGGGGCGGGGACTCGCATCACCGCAATAACAGGGTTTCATCGGACTTTGTGCCTGCCAGCAGTTCGCAAGTATCACGGACAGCCGCCGCTCGCATGGACGATGCGGTACCCGACCCTAAGAGTCGGTACCAATGCGAACACACAGGCACAGCGCTAGGGGAGGCAGGGGCAGCATCTGCAGCACTCAGGCCTAAGGGACAGCTGCCAATTGCGTGGGAGTCAGCCACTGCGGCTGCTGGCAGTCCAGCCAGCCCGCAGGGTGAGTGGAGCGCCGCGGATTACCGGGATGAGAGCTGGAGCTTCGGCAGCAGCCTTCATGACATTGGCCAGGACCTTCAGCCCGGCTTACCGTGCGCGGTTGGGCTGACGGTGGCTGGCATGATGGGCATTGACGGGCGGCCGCTCAGTGCCCCGCTGGGACATGTGCTGGACGGGGCGCATGGCCCCACTGGCCCGGGTCCTGGCGGCCGGCATGGGAGCCAGTCCGTAGCGCTGGCGTTCTTATAACTGAGCGGCTATTTGAGGACGTGAACCTCAGGGGGATGGAATGACGTCATCTACGGACGGAGTCATCTCGCCTGTGTTTCAAGCCGCATCAGCGGTGGTTCATGCATCGAGGCGGGGGAAACCAAAGCCTGCGGCCCAACGCTCAGCAAGGACAACCCTATGGGGCACAGCTGAACTACAGCAGCGCCAACGGGGAGGCGCTGGCAGCGCTCTAGGCGGTTAGGCATTTCCACCCCTACGTGTACAGTACCGGTTATGCATAAGGCAGGGCGCCGGGACGGCAATGTGGACGGCCTCAGCCGACTATGCCCTCTGTTGGTAGCAGCCACCGGTGAGTCCAGCCTTGCCGCGGGGGAACCCCCGGCAGCGGGGCCCGGCCCGAACTATGCACCGCCTACAGTGATGCTGGCGCCGATGGCCCTGGGCGCCCTCTATGGTGGATTCCCCGGAGGTGTGCGCCCAGACTGCATGGCAGCAGCCGGAGGAGGTGCCGGGGCTGACGGCGCTGTGCGGCCAGCCGGTGGCCCTGCGCAGCCGGCGCCAGGCCATGTGGCTCGCCGGCCGAGTGGCGGTGGCGATGCGGCAGCCGGCCAGCGTGCAGGGGCGATTCGGCAGGCGGCGCCGGCAGCAGCACAGGAGGAGGTGACGGCGGGGGAGCTCCGCCCCACCTAATTGGAGAGGATTGCTTTGGGGGTGGTGGTTAGCCCGTACGGCAATTCCTGGGCAGCTTTACCCGGCGCAGGAAGAGCGGGCTGGGACCGAGAACCCGTTGGCAGTGGTTGCGCTGGGAGGCAGCAAGGTCAGCCTAGCTACGGGCAAGGTCAGGGGAAATGCGGGATCAGCAGACTGGCAGTCGGCTATGGGGAAGAGAGGAGTTGGTCAAGGGCCATGGGAGGCAGGGCTAGGAAGGGCGCATGCACTCAGGACCCTTCCTAGCGGGCTGCCCGGTGACGGGCAGCGGCGCGGGGGAACGCCACAGCTGTGGCAGCAAAGTGGGGCTTCGGGCTAAGCTGTTAGGATGCGGATTGTTGCGATGGGGCCACGTCGCGCGCTGACCGGCGAGAGAGATCGGCAAGCGGTTAGTCGCCAACGCCGGAATAGCCGCGAGAGACGTCAAAAATGTATGTTGTATTGAACTATACTGGTTGAACTAAAAGAGAGCAAGGGAAGACGGCGCGCCGAACCATGGGTCCGGCCGCGAGGGATTGCTGCTGCGAGAGCTACGTACTTTACAAGAGCCTTGTCGGTACCTGTACTTACAGCGCGTAATTGACTCGCTGTTACCTTTCCTATTTACCAGTAACGGTTGGATTACTAATAACGTAACGGCCGAGCGAAGCGAGGCCGTACTGTTCGCGATGGGATTGTGGTACGAAGCCTGATAACTCAGCAGGGGTTTTGGTATTTCCTGGTAGAGGGGCCCCTGATATAGCTGTTTGCCTTGTTGGATAGAGGATCTGAGGCTGTTCTTGCTGCGCATAGGGAATAACCCTCCGAGGGTTTGTGCCAGTAAGTGTTTCAGTCTGGTTGACGTCATGCTGACATCATGATGACGCAACATTGTCACTCTAGGGAGGGTCCCTGCCTTCAGTATAAATACCGGGGCCTTTTCCAGGGTTGAGAAGACCTGTTAGAGACCTATCCGTGGTCGTACCTGTGCAGGGCTATCCGTCCTTGTGTCCAGGACTATCAGGCTTCCAGGAACGGGCCTGTAAACCCGCTTTGAACAGGCTATAACACTTGTAAGGTCAGAGCATCTTCAAGTGCTACGCCGTCGTGTCTCCCAGGGCTTCGCCGGCGCCTTCCAGGCTTCCAGCCGCCCGGACTGCAAGCGCCCAGCCCAGAACCGGTTAGGGCTCAGCTTCGCTAGGCCCGTACTGTTACCGCAATTGCCAGACCTGAGGCGAGGGCCCTAGGCCCGAGCCCTGCACCCGAACGCCGCAGGACTAGGCTTTGTACCTATTCCTAGCCTCAGAAACGAGCTCGGTCGCAGTAGTTAGCCTTTGCCGTACACATTGCCAGGGGTTGGCTAGCGCGAGGGCATTGCACACAGCCGCTAGTGCGCCGCAACCAGCCAATAGCCTCTGCCACACCACGCTAGGCTAGGACGGTAGCAGCGCAGTGCAATCGTCTTCATACGGGCACTGCGTGGGTCGTACAGCACTAGCACCCTGGGCACAATAGCCGACGGCCAGCAGCATCAGTTCCTTAGGGGGTTACACACCCGCAAAAATTTTCGTCAGGATGGTGTACTGGTCGTAGGGCGTTCCCCGCCACAGCCCTATAGGGCCCAGAAAGTTGTACATCATACATCCTGACTCCCTTCTAACCTTTTTACTATGGTATCCTAGACTATTGAACAGGATTCGCAAGGCCGTGCGTCCTTACGCTTGGCTGCTTCTGTGTGCAACCCATCCATCCGTCCAAGGTGTTCATACCACCGTCCATACATCGTAACTTGCTTTAGGTGTCCTTTCCTAGTTGGTGAGGTTGGCGGCAAACTTTGAGGGCGGCAGGCTTTACAACCATCATAAGTGGCAAAATCTTGCATGGATGTCCCCTATTTTAGGCTTCCTGCACAAGCCGTCCGTAGCTGTTAAGCAGTTCGTAATCACAACGCTGGTGCATCTCAACATAGCTGTGCCTGGTAAGCATACTAAGGCTAATTCCCGGATGCTGCGCTCATAACTTACAAGCACAATGCAGAAGCAAGAAGCGGTGTGTATGCGCAAAAGAGACGCTCGCTGGTGTTTCGTGCACAACAAAGGAAGACACCGTTTGCCACCCTTCCACGCCTGCCAGGAATCCCCACGGTAAGACACCAGCAGCATTTGGTACTGACCTCTCATCATACTGGAAGTTTAATCATACTTGTACATTTATCCGTCACAGGGTAAAACCGAGATAAACCACAGTCCAAACAGCAGGTCCTTGGTGGCAGATAGAGCCCAGCAGTCCCTTTCAGGACTGCCGCAAGTTATGCCGACGCTGAATAATCATACATGGTACCGTGCAATAGAGCTTGCACAAACAGTATGGCTTTAAGCCTTTAGAAGCTCAAAATGCGATGATCGCAGTGTACGACTGTACGATCACCCCAGTCCATTGGACTACGATATACAAATACCTATTCGAGCCAAAATAAGAAGGCCAACAACTCATAAGCAGCGTGGGAAAGCGTCCCCCAAACATTCCGAATACAAACGCGGACACCTGGGCGAAGCGTGGGGTACCATGCTGGAACATATAGCATGTATGTGAATGGCATGGCCTATTGCGCTCAGGGCTGTTGCCTAACTCCGTCTCAAGTACACATCAAGTGTCGATTTCTGGTAACGCCGCAGGTAACGCCGATACATACACGCATATTCAGCAGTCCGTCCATGCCACATGGTACCACCTTCCAAACGCCAAACGGCTCCGAAATACAATCTAGGAAGGCATGTTGTCTCACACAGCAACAAATATATAGCACATATGTATAACGCCTTACAGCTTTTTAGGCAGCAGGCCAAGCTCCTGCAGGCGCGGCAGAACGCCCTTCATGGCAAACCACTGGTGGAAGCGCTGACTGACGTGGATGTTATCTGCAGCAGTGGATGCAAGAGGACAGATGTGTTCAACGCTCTAATGGAGCGAACGACAGCAATCCGGGGTTTGGCAACTAGCACGGGTATAGGTGTAAGGCACACGAGGAGGAATGAAATGGCCACAGAACAGTGGTGGTGATCGGAACCATGGGTCACGTGGCCCCTACCATAGAACAAGTAGCTGTCCGGCTTGGCGCACAGCTTGATGCCAGGTGAGATGACCATGGAGGACACAGGGCTCGAAAAGCAGGATCCTGCGGGTCATGCAACAGAGGGTACCGGTGGAGGGCAGCATGTGTGGCTAAAAATGATGATGGAGGATGCCTCCATTTGCTCTAAACCACACCCTCGCCCGCCCCCTGGGACTTGGAAAGCAGGACTTCTACATGCGGTTGCCACTTGTACCTGACGATTATTCCAGGTGAATGCCCAAAAAACCTTCCAGAAGCAGGAATGCATGCCGTGTCCCGAGTTAGCTTCAGGGGCCAAGCCGCACCTGTCATATTCTTAAACGCCGGCTTAATCTGTGTCGTTCCCGCTTGGATCCAGGAGGCATCTCCCAGAAGGTGCAGTTTGCCGCCAGCGCCCGGGAAGCCCGGCGGTAAGGCATCGAGCACGGACTGTACGGCGGCAATCCCGGTCGCCAGGGCCGCGTCAAGGGCGACTTCGAGCTGGGCCACCTGAAAGGGGCAAGATCCAATGGTGCAATCGGGAACAACGCGTGGTATCCTAGTTGTGTGACGGAGTTTAGCTTTCGGCTCGGAGTTTCGCTTCAGCTTCAAGCCCCTTCCGGAGAACTTCTGTGAGTGCCTAACACAGGTAGGGCTTAAACAGATACCATGTACTGGCCCGATAGCCCCTTCATGCTGGCGTCAGCCTTCCGAGCTCCAATAAACTACGTCCAACAATTGGGAGATGTACGCATTGCACGCACCATCGGTTTGAAGGCGCTAGGCACCGCAGGCGCAATGTGCAGGGGGCTCATGGGCAGCATCACGACGAACGGCAGGCCCGCCTCGAGTAGGGACTTGGCTGCTTGGAGACGGCACGCCACAACGCCCTTCACAAATGCTTGCACATCAGCCATGGTGAAGTTCACGCCTTGGAGTTGCTTGACCATCGTATCCTGAATTGCCGAATGCGTGACAGGAGGGGACGGAAATCGTTTAAAACAGGGCTCGGGCAAACAAATTTGACGAGTGAAGAGACAGGCCCGGCATGCTGCAGAGCTCGCTGACAGCGTCATAGTGAAGTCCTTATCTTGGCCCAGGAGACGCACATATCTGGTTGTATCTCGCAATAAGCAGCCATCGGTTCTTATCATAAAGAGGCTCGTCTGGTTGTACCTAGTCCCACCCAACTCCTTTTCAGGCATGCAAACCTCCCTCAAAGTGGAACACAACATCCCCTACCTGCACGTCGTTGCTGCCAATCCATTGAATGGGTAGGATCCTGGCGCTCTCATCACCAGAAAGGATCGTTCTGCCAAACTGGAGATCGTTCAGGAACTTCGCCGTTTGGTTGGGCAGATGCATCACGTAGCTGGGGGCGAGAAGGGCAGTAAGGTAGATGGTGAAGGGGTGCAACAGGGTGCAAAGCCATTTTGTGCGTTGTTTGTAACGATGATGTCATGGAACGTGTGGTACACCTACCCCATGCACGTGCACGCATTGCAAGACGTGTAACAAAACACAATGTTAGAAGGAAGTCATACATTTCCCGTTAGGTTGGTCCCGATTCATGAGGGATTCCATTGGATTCTCATGTGGGGCTGGTACTCACGGGAAGAGACTGCTGACCGCCGCATTGGGGCACGCTGTGGCACCCCCGTAGGCGTAGTTGAAGACCTGAGAAGTTGCGAGTGCAGGGCAGGCCATTCAAGTCAGGATGAGTTCGACCACTGAACACACAACCCCTAAGCTAGCCTCATAGGCTGACAACTACAAAGGGTGCAGGTTCAGCTAATGGGATTCGTACACGCCAACTTGTGCAGTTACCGTATTTTGTGTGGCACCCTACCTTGGTAGAGTACTTCGCAGCCACTGCCTGAGAAAGACGGTCTACCCAGTTCGGCCCATTGGTGTACCTGGAGGGTGGCGGTGCAAGTCTTAAATACTATACGTGAAGCAGGGTTTAGCGAAGCTGGTTGGACTGCAATTGAGCTTGCTCCTATATTTCGACGTATCCTAATTCCAAAGCATGTCCCACCTGCCCTTGTAGTAAATAGATGGGTCAGGCACGCCACCGTCTCGAAGAGTGTTTCCTGTGAGAGCACGAAGTTGGTGTGATTGGCCAGTTCTGTCAAGCCAGGACAACTAAAATGCAGGAAACATTTATACTGCACGCGGTTTGAAACGGAATCATATTCACGAGCAAACAAAATCTACCGGTAACCTCTGAAATACTGTAAGGTGAGAATTACAAAATGGAAGCTGAACGCCACACAAAGCTAAGCACGAAATTCTCAATAGGAAGCGAGCATTTTGATGGGATACCAATTAGGCACGCAGCAGATACTTCCCCTCTAAGTGTAGTTTGCGCATCGCCACTGGGGCGCGGGTCGCAGAAGGTAACAAAGGAAGGTCCGACTGAAGCACTCGCTTGCTTACCGGTGTCAGTAAGGCTGTCCCCGAAGAACACCAGGACATACTTGGTCGTCGGCGCAGGCCTCGCTGCAGTGAGACCGAGAAGGATGCAAAAGGTGCAAAGCGCTAAAATGCTTCTGGATGCCATTTTAGCTACCAACGCTGCAACGTATGTATCGCAGCGATAACAGCCTTGTCAAAGTTGCTCGGGTTTATGACTTCACCATACCAACGGTCTCCGTACAGTAGTGTTAGGAAGTCAACCACCGTTCAGTAACGTGCACTCGAAGTTCTGATTTTTCCTTCAAGAACTTATGTTTTGTTTAAGCTTATCGTCGTCATGGTCACACAGCGGATATCACCTCCGGTAGACACTCATATTCCTGACGGGGAGGCTTATACCTTGCCACGTAAGACAGAAATCCACGCAACGCTACATTTCATAGTACATAGTATGACATACCGGAGAGCCGTTTACCAGTGTAAATTGTTGCTGCAACGTACAACCATGCTGTTGTGGACTCGCCATGCTGCCAAGCCCGCACCAATGTAACATTCCTGGTTACTCCACAGTTCTTGGTTGACAAAAGCGCCGCAAACCAGGCATGATATCGACTACCGGTACTGTCATTACCGTATGCACTCCTTGATACGGTACCCTGAGCGGGCAGAAAGGGAAGCTAGGACCTGTTTTCGCCTCAGGTTACACACGGCGCATGCCAAGCACGCATGCAGTATGTGGGTATACGCTCTCCATGTTTCGCTTGTACACTTCCCGGTGTAAGAGATAGAAGCACGGTTTCATGCATCCCTAAAGTTTTCGGCCATGGTAGCTTACTGCCGTGTTCCCACTTACCTCCTAGTTGTCCAGTGACTGCTACCAGATAAGGCTCTTGCACTGTTGTCCTGCCTGTCGAAGGCAAACCCTAACTGGAAACTTGGGTGGTGTCGTGTTGTGGGTAGACCTTCCTAAGTGGAGTCCTGAGGTTGCAGCTTCAGAAAGGGCCGACCATGCGTGGTATGGAAACTCCGTTTCAACGGCATGCCCACGCTGGGCCTCCAGCCGTAGGCGTGACAGCCTTGGATCCATCGGAATCCATGATAGAAGGAAAGGAAAACTGAATGCGCCAGTCACATCACTTGCAGTTGTTATGCTCCAAATAACCTACACATATTAACTTTTAGCCCTGTCCAATTTGTGAAGCAAGCATGGAGAAGTGTCGTCACTTGCTCCAGTGCCTTTTAGAACAATTGGACTAACCAGTTATTCACGAGCTATCCTGATTAAGGCTGAAGGACAAAATTGGATTCGCAGTCAGGGGTTGTGCTGCGTTAATACCTTGCAAAGTATCACTTCCTCCTATGCAGCAGCTTACATATGCTTTGAATGCCGGAGAGTGAGTTACTGCTTCCTGGAGTAACGCGCAGCGACATCCAAGCAGCGCCTCTCGCGGTTGAGGTTGATGTGGAGCGAAGCGCAACCTCGGGCGACGGCGATGGCCCCCCATCGCCCCAACGCACAACACCACCAGCAGCAGCGTCGACGGCCATCAACGTAGTTCCCGTGCCCGAACGCCGGCCTTCAATATGGCAGTTGCCCTTCTGCGCCCGTAAGCATCGTTTGTCGCGACTTGCTTGCTTGCTTGTGAGGTGGTTGCTTGAACATTAACAGCCGCGGGACAGCGAAACAATGACATGGGGGATGAGGTTTTGCATTACAGCAATATTTGATGCAGCCCCTGGGGCGCGCTTTGGTTACCTATCCGTCTAAAGCCGGTTCCCCCGTCCTAACAACTCCACGCCGTGCTCCCTGCCCGCCTCGCCACCGTGACCATTAAGGCGTGAGCCTTACTTGGACCCCTTTCCTCATGCCGGCCCTTCGCACCACATGTACAGTGGCGTGACGTGGCTCAACACCCTGCTTCTCCACTCCTATCCCTCCTTTTCATTCTCGCACTCCATTCCCGTGCGCTCCATTCCACAAGTTAGATTCACATGGATTACCCCCTTCCCTAACGTTCGGAAGTCCATGGATCCCCCCTCACCTCTCCTCACCGCCTCAGCCGACCTGTCCTGGCTCAGCATCGCCAACACCCTGCTCTACCTCTCCCTCATCTGCCTCAACGTGCTGGTTTACTCGGAGGCGGTGTGGCCGGGAGTGGGGGAGGTAGACCGCAAGTACGGCCCGCTGCTCACCCCGGCGAGGTGGGAGGGAGGGGACAGCGGAGAGCGGGAGAGGCATGGGTTGGCGGGAGGAGGGGGAAGGAGTGGCGGGAGAAAAAGGGAAGGTGGGATAGAGTGGGCGATTTGAGTTAAAGCACCGTGTTGGCGCAGCCGCAACGTATGCCGGTTTAGACTGAAGGGTGTGGAGGCGTGGCACATCTGGCCCCCACCTGAAACCCAGCGGGCTCGGTACGGATCATGCCCTATACCTTGGGTACGCTGCGCAAGCAACAGCCCACCCCAATGAGGCATAGCCCTGAAGGCTGTGCTAGCCACCAGCTCCTCCCATGCGTCCCGCCCTCCCCCGCACACCATACTCGATACCCCAGATCCTGTTTGCATGCCCGTCGCGTCCCTCCTCAGGACCCCAGCAGCCATCCATCATCCGCCCAGGCCGCCTCCCAACCGCCTTCCCTGCCCCCTCTCACCTCATACCCCCCTCCCCTTCCCTCCCCCCCCCCCCCCAGCTGGTCGTACCACCTGCGGGACCTGATCATGTTCCTGTGGGGTCTGGCCGTGGCGGCGCAGAGCCTGGCTGAGCACCTGGGCTGGCGGGACTACCTGCAGCACCGGCTGGGTGGGTGCTGGAAGGAAGCGAGGCAGCTAGGCGGGGTGGAGCGGGAAGGAGGCGTGCCGGTTGGCGCGTCAGCTTGTATCGGATGGGGGAGGTGGCGAAAGAGGATAAAGGGTAGCAACTGATCGACAGTAAGATGGTAGTGCGGGTGTGGTAGGATCCAATACCATCCTGCCCCCGGCCCCCACCTCTCGCATCCCGCCCCCCTCCATGCACCTGCCCCTGCGTCGCAGGCAGCCTCTGGCGCATCCAGTGGTGCGCGGACTGCATCTGGCTGGTGCTGCACGTGAGCGGCAACATGGCCGCAGCGGCGGTGTTCTCCGCCACCTCGCTGTGTGCGGCGCTGCTGGGGATGCACCTGCAGGCGTCGTTGATGCGGGAGCTGCACCCGAGGATGCAGGAGGAGGGACAACCAGGTGGGGTGGGGTGGGGTGGGGTGCGGAGATTGGGGGAGAGTGGGGTGTGGAGCGATGCAAGCTGCTGGGGTGGTACTCCTTGTGAACGGGTTACTGGGCCACGCCAACGGTAAAGAGTGGGAGATTGGCGTGGTTGAAAGCGGGTCGGGGTCAATTTCCTCTTTGGGATTTGCATAATGCATGTTAACAGCTGGAAAGGGCCTGCAGCAACATGGTACCTCACGTAAGACTGCCCTACTGCGTTCCTATGTTATAGCGCTCCTTCCTAAATGGATACATCGTATAACGCTAGCCCCAACTGTGCCGATGGCCCCGCCTCGTTGCTGCTGCTGCTGCCGGCCTCCCCGCTCCCCAGGCGTCCCCGCCCTGGCCTACCTGCTCTTCGCCGCCCCCACCTCCCTGTCAGCGGGCTGGCTGCTTGCGAACCAGTGCCATGCAATTACGGCGGCGGTGGTGCGGGCGGACAATGGATCCCAAACGGTGAGCGCAGGAGCTAGGGTTCAGGGACGTGAGCGTCTCGGATGTGGCAGGGTTGAATGGTTTGGTTGACTGCTGCCTGGCTTGGGCATCACTTCCCGGTTACTTCCGTGCACCACCCTCCATGCAAGCCACTGCCCCACACCACTCCACCTCTCTCCTACCCCGCTTCCTCTCCTTCCTTCCGTCACCCCACCCTCTCACAGATCGCCCTGCCGCTCGGCTGCTGTCTGATAGCCCTAGCCGCCTGCATGGCCCTGTCCCACCTCGCCCGCACGCGTGACGTGCTGTTCGGGCTTGGCTTCGCCTGGGCCGCGCTGGCCATGTCGGTGTCCTCTGGGGGCTATGCGGGCACCTACATCGATAACGGCGATGGTACCTATAGCTACGGCTATGCAAACAGCAGCAGTGACAGCAGCGGTATGGGTACCGGCGGCGGGTCCGGCATGGGCGGTAGCATGGCACCCTTGGATGACGGCTACACTTTGCCACCAATGGGCGGCTTGGGTGGTGGTGGTGGTGGTGACTATGGCGGTGGAGGCGGTTACGGCAATGCGACGGCCTCCCTCGGCGGTGATGGTGATTATAGTGGCTATGGGGATGGCAGCGGTGCTTATTATGAGGGGTACCGGCCGGACCAGTTGATTGCGCTGTTTGCGGGGTTTGTTGTGGCAATCGTGGCGTTTGGTATGGTTTCGGTGCCGCTGGGGCAGGGCATGGTAGCGACGGTGCGCGGTGGGAGAGGGGGAGGGAGAGGAGGAGCGAGAGGAGGGCGGATAGGCGGCGGCGGAAGTGGAGGAGCTGGTGCCGCAGGGGGTCAGGTGGAGATGGGAGCGGCTGGCGGAGGAGGAGGAGGGGGAGAGGGGAGCGGTAGCGGGGCTGGAGGTGCGTCTAACAGTGGTGGAGGAAACGGAGGAGATGGAGGGGACAGAAGGGAAGGAGGAGAGGAAGCTACAGAAGGTGGGGCGAGCGGTGGCAATGGCGGTAGCAGAGGGGGCGGCGGCGGAGGGAGTGAAGGTGGAGGGGCAGGTCCTAGCAGCAGTAGGGGGATCACACATGGCGACGGGGCAGTATGACCCCGACGACCCAACGTAAGGTCCAGAGATGAAGGGTGTAAAGAATCGCGGGCTTGTAAGACGCTGGATATGAGTCACGCGTTCCCGTGTTTAGGCATAGAAACTACAGCAATGGTGTGGTGACATGTACAATGTATTAGTTGACGCAGGGTTATTCCAAGCTTCTGCACTGACCGTGAAGTCTGTGATGTATGGTCCAAGGGTGGTACCCTCCGGGCCTGTCTGGCAAGCTCGCAAGAGATACTATATCGCCTGCCGCTGTGATCCACACATTACGCGCGGTAGTGGCCGCCTTTCTCACGGCCATTCCCTTGTCGCTGAGTGCAAGCGGTGTACGGCGGCTGTATACCTGTGATGGTACGTTGGGCCTCTCGTTTATGGAGTCTAGCACATGGTGGCCCCCAGAGTTTGCACTAGACATGTTCTTTCGTTATTTGTGCCCAACATCGTAATAGGGAATGGGGTGACCCGCGGGTCACTGGCTAACCGCTGATCCATGAACGAATGACGTGGTTGGGGGATGCGATAGTGCCGCGCTTGCAGAGCAATGACACACGGTATGACTGAGGTAGGGCCGCCAAGTACGTTTGTACACGCTTTCTTTCTGGGCATAGTGATCGCGCAAATCTCAGTTAATTAAGGTGTGGTGGGCACCAGATGAGGCATGTCCTGCTGCTGTTAATGCTCCTTACCCTAATGGGCTGCGATTCCATTGTTTCCAGCCTAGTTCGGTACGTGCCGCGGCTGACCTGTGCTTGCGGTGGCGTGCATGTACGTAGGAGTTGCATGTAAACTGCAAACGAAGCGCTACCTTATATCCCAAGTGCAATCTAGCAGTGGACTTTGCTGGTCCCTGATGAAATAACTGTGGGGGACTTCTCGGGTACTCCGCACATCCTGTGGATCCAGCGCATGAGCTCTTTTCAGGACATCTAGTAGAAGTGGTGCCGTCAAATAGCTGGCATGAAAACAAGGGAACACGACCGTGATGTTGCTTTAGTCCGTAGCGGTCAAGGGAATGCAAGGCGAGGATGCATATACAATATAGCATATGGGCATCACTCTGGGAATCCCCCTCCCTTCATTTTCACCGAATCTGCTTCGTTTGGCATTCATTTTGCTCTCGTTTTAAAGTGAAGGCCCTAGTAGCCTTCATTTGCTGTGTTCACTTAGGAATGAAGCTCACCAGCCGCGCCACCATCAGCGCCTACCAAAAACGAACAGTGCTTAGAAATGAAGTGACGCTGTGATGCCAGAACATCACTTGCATTTGTAAATAGGAAACAACCTATGTATGAAGGACAGCTCCCTGTTTGATACGGTAGTTACCTATGTCGAAGCCTCTTCACTTGTAAAGCGTGTTCCCTGCCACTGCACCTATGTAGTATAGCATGAATCCTAGGCAAGTAAGCCCCTTACTTGCCCTCGTACCTGCAGTACGCATTAGCTAAACTCGTAGGAACGTTTCCGCTAGAGAAGGTGGCATATAATATCTTCACTGGAACAATTTCTTGAGAACGCTTTACTTCGCTACTTGGCAGGTGACAGGTTTAGAAGGATAGGAATCAAGCTCGGCCCCATAAACCGGCAATGGCTCCTCCAAAGAAGCAATGGCCAAGATTAATTGATAATGGTCGCTTATTGCTAGCCGTAAACGGCTCTGTGAGATGCGTTGCCTGCAATGCCATATTCAATCACCGCTCGGGTGGTTACAAACATAGCGCAACCTGTAAGCTGCAGCTGCCCTATCCAGAGGAGGCTACGCCACGACCTGTGGCCGGTAGGGCTGATGAGGTGGGCGAAGCCGGCCATATCGATGATGCGCACTCTGAAGGCGCAGAACAGCACGTCCCTGACACCGAAGTTATGGAGTGGAGCCCCCAGCACCCAAGAGGTAGATAACATTTCTTACTTGCCATTGAGCCTCTATGAAAGAGTCCACTACCATACTGAACGAACACGCGTCGCCACAGTATGCACTTTACTACCAGTTTAGACCACAAGGTACGGGCGTCCCATACCCAATCTAACTGCTCGCAACTTTGGGATTGGTGTTGCACCTGACGAGAGCCCTCCTGCAACACACCTGCTTCTTACTCCCAGCAACTTGACATGCTTGCGAAGATGAATCTCAACCCTGCGTGGACATACTCACATGTGCCTGCTAAGCCCTAACCCCGCAAAATTCTCCGGCAAATCGAGTGGCACCGATGAGCCTTAGTGCAACGAACATTCGAATTAAACGTGCAGTAGCCCTGCGAATGCACTACCAGCCCTCCATCATGGACACGCAAAGAAACTGCATAAGAGCACAATCGATCAACCATGCACCCCAACTGCATGTATCAGGCCAGCAACTGCAATCCAACCGCCGCCAGATGTGGCAGATCCGACTTGCTAGATATGTAGGCCCCATTGACATTCACTCGCACCGCAGACACCTCGCTAACCGCAACCAACGGCATCTGGGGCTGCAGGGAGGCCACGGAGAGAGCAAAACGGTTGATGCCCGGACACGTCAGCTGCTGACTCGAGATGCCCGTGTACAAAGTCACCCACCGACTGGTACCCTGTAGGAACGTTTACGTGTTAAAAGGTAGTTCGTCAGCTCGGGTTTGCTCTCAAGTGCAACCAACCCGGCGAAATGCCGTGCGGCAAGGTGGCGACACGGCGCGCACAGGGCACACGTGCCGCATTGGGGTACAACCCGTAACGGAGATGTACGGCGTACATTGGACGAAGCATTGACCCAAGGCGCTACAGCTGCCGTACGTACCTGCCCAGGCACCCGCAGGAGCAGGTCGATGGATGTGAAGGCGGGGTCCAGGCTGCCCACATTGAGGACGTACAGCAGCACACTGGTCACCTGGTTAACCCTGGCAGCTGGGGTTTGGTTGAAGTAGGCCACCACGTAACGGGGAGCCTGCAGGTGTATAAGAGACGAGGGCAGGAAAGGTGGAATAACTACCGGTAACAAGCGATGTTTTCCTTTCAGCCGGCGTGTGCAGTTCAGTACATTACACTTCAAAGAGGTGACGGCCACCAAACTAGGAGTTGTGTGCCGTACAAATGCCGTACACAACCGCATGTCGTATTCCTTCTCCTCACCACTTTAGTGGGCACCCAGCTGAACGCCGGGGCGGGCTTGCATGTCTTGGCGGCCACAACCTGGGGAGCTGGAGGCCCCGCTAGGTTGCTCACGGAGCCGGCTTGGCCGTTCGAACTAGAGGGATCCTGTGTGGATGTACGGAAGCAAGGTTCGTTGGAAAATAATAGCGGAAAAAGTTAGCTTCTTCCTACTGTGTGGTAGTTCCGGGTAGGTCGGGGTTTTACGAAGAAACTTTGAGGGTGCCTTGCTTGGCGGCCTAGATGACAGGGCGGCTAAAGTAGGGCGACAGGCAAGATGGGCGATACCTACGTTGGGACCTAAGGCGTAGGATGTCCAGTACACGGATTGGGATTGCGGCGTGGGAGGTGGTGGAATGGCAGGCGGAGGACTGGGAGGCGGGAAGGAGGGAGGCGGACGTGAGGGGGGTGCCGGAGGTGTCGGTGACGGCGGCGGTGGAGCGAGTGGGGGGCGGGGTGACGGCGGGGGAGGTCGGAGAGGGGAGGACGGTGGTGGGCTGGGCGGTGGAGGCGAGTGCGGCCGAGGAGAAGGAGGCGGAGAGTTGTCGGTGACGCGGGGCGGTGGTGGGGGAGGCGGAGGGCTGGGCGGGGAAGTTGGAGGAAGGGGGAACGTGGGGGGTAGGCCGGGAGGGATGGCTGGCGGCAGAGGTGGGGGGCTGGGCGGGGAAGCTGGAGGAAGGGGGAACGTGGGGGGTAGGCCGGGAGGGATGGCTGGCGGCAGAGGTGGGGGGCTGGGCGGGGAAGCTGGAGGAAGGGGGAACGTGGGGGGTAGGCCGGGAGGGATGGCTGGCGGCGGCGCTGTTGGTAGCCAAAAAGAGGGTGATGAACCCCCTATGCAGGTGGCCTTAGGGTTTGGATCCCAACTTTTGATGTACAGGTCTGCCGGGGATTGGGGAACACATTGGGCGTATCATGTTAGTCTCTTAGCACACCTTTTTGCCTGGGTGTTATGGGTCAGCATAGGAAGCGGAGTCGTAAATTCCTTGAAAGGCACGGGGTGCATCCAAGCTCTTTCAAACATAGCACACCTGCGCCATATTCAACGTATCGCTCCGACGGGCTTTGTGAAGTAAACAGGTGCCCTCTGGTGTCAAAGCTGTAGCATTGGTAGGCGCTGTCGCAATACGCAGCAAGCCTCCTAATGAATTGGAACGCTGATTCTCCAGGTTCTCGGTTGTATTGATTGAAGACGGCACTGCACAGGATGAGGGGTTAGGCAGTTGTGCGTTTGCAGCTGTAGCCACCCTGTAAGGTGGTCTGCATTTCGCGATACCGGGTTGGGACTAGAATTACCTGCTGGGGAAGATGGAGTCCGCGTAACATTCGTAGTTGGAAACTAGTACTGCATCACAAAATTGTTTGGCAAGCATTGGTGGGGAGGGTTTAAATGTAAACAGGACACCGACAGCTACCTTCACGTCTAGGCCTCAGCGTGGCAGAGTGTAGGTATGCACGTAATTTAGTAGAACCGACTGAAATTTGAATTTGTATTCATTGGCACTCACCATATGAAAACACGGTTCGGTGCGCCGTGACCCTGAAATGCAAATCCATAACGCCATGTCAGCTTTCCATGCCAGAGACCATGCTACTTACAGCACCATCAGCTCACGTAAAGAGGAATAACAGGAGCGCCTTGGACACCAGCATTCCGTTCAAAATACCGTTTCCTTCTTAGTAACTATCTGGCCAAAGCACGTGCACAAGAACAGCTTTTGTTTAAACGGCTATGTTAATAACACATTTTATCGCACTTCTATCTCTGTGGATTGCCAGGTAGATCCCTCACTAACAGCTAGTGTACTAGTTACGCTTGTGACCTGCAATCATCAGTAAGAGTGCTGTGCATTAAAGCCAATGCGCAGATTGATTTGATTCTCACTGAGAGGGCGTTTAAAAGCAGCAGTCCGGTACAGCGCCCCTACCCCCTAAGGGAGTCTGAGGTCGTACAGGGCTCCCTGGCAGCGTGCTGCGCTTCCATTCTCTATCTTTTAACTCAAAACAAGTTCTTGGTATCACCCTTTTACTCTGGGAATTCCAATATCCCTTTAAATGTAAGCGTCAGGGACTTTCTGTGCATTACAGTGTCAACCTACAGAAAATGTAGCAAGCTTGATTTGTTGATCTACTTTAGTTCTAATTTGATAACGCTACTTATGGCTTGTGCCACAGGCGGTAAAGTCTTGATGGTTGTGCGAAAATGAAGGGCGATGGCAGCAGTGGATGCGACGGCTCTTCGGCAGCAGCAGCCACAGGAGCTGAGTCGCCCAAGGTATGTTTCGTGCCACGTTGTCCTGAAGTTAATTGATAGTATTAAGCTGTTTGCGATGCCCTGTGTACTTGCTGTCTCACATCTGTGCATCTGTGCACACTAGCAATATGTGCTGACCTCTTGTGCTTGCCACGTGTATCCATAGGCAACGATCCTCCCGTTCCCTTCCCCTTTCTTGCCGGTACTAGGACTAAAGCGTCTGCAGGGATATAGATATTACGAACCCCAACACCACCGTCAGTCCCGTCCTGCCTATCACTAGAATCCCCTTGACGCCTCCGCTTGACACCAATCGCAGCGTTCCTTCTATACACGCGTTTAGCATGGGTACATCGTTCGTTACTTACACCTTGCGTGCGTACCGCGTCAGCTGGAACAAGCTCCTCATGCATATTTACATACGTAACACCCTGCTGCTGTGCTGTGTCTTGCGCCACATTAGCCCCTGCTGTGCCCGCTCCCTGACCACTTGGCCCCGCAGCTGCTGCATCAGAGCGGGCTTCACCTCCTGCAGCAGCAGCGCTGCGCTGGGTAACCCAAGCTGCCCACGCAGACATAGCATTAACAACTGCCTTTACATCTTCAGCTGATAGGTTGCTAGCCCCCGATAGTGCTGCGTGGATGATCACGAGCGGCGTCGAAACGATACCAGCCAAAGCCAGCACCTCAATGTTTTTATGATGCAGCAGGAGACGCAGCTGGCATACGCAAAGCCGCCGGCCCTCTGTAGCGGTCTTTGGACTCGACAAGAGACCGCAAGGCTTCAGCCTCCCTCCGTCCAGCAGCAAGCGTGGCTGACATACGTTCCGTGGGTGGCCTCCGGCCTGCTGCGAATGCTCTGCGGATGGTAGCCTTGAGCGAATCAACTGATAGGCGAGAGGCAACCTCTCGAACCACCTCCTCCACAGGCCTGCTTTCAGCTGCTGTTTGGCTAGAGCCCTGTCTCTATTGGCTCCATACCCTTGCCTTGCAAGCTGTCGGACGTTGGGGTTGAGGTACCATGCCACTGCTTGTATACGTCTGCCGCAACAGAGTGCACGCAGGCGTTATGTGCCACAAACATATGGCAAGTGCTGCTGAACACTCCAGCACGGATGGAGACAACAGCGCGTACTGGGCACGGATTAAGTTTACGTTTCTGAGTTTCAGGCACCAACTGCATGGCTGCTGACAAAACATCCTCGCATGAAGTCAAGGACTTGAATATGAACGCCTCTGATGAGTAGGATGGGGCTGGGTCGGATGCAGGCACAGCGTATGCACCTGTTGGTAAGTCCTGCTCGGCTGCTGCCTGATGCCCTGGGTTTTGCCGTGGCCCTGGCTTCATTGCACTCTGCTTGAAAGTTGCACACAAGGTGCTGGCGGCAGCTGAGAGCTGGGTGCTGCACCGCCCGCCGCTGTAGCAGATGGCGGTGTGCACTTGGAGGGGGCTCAAGGGTAGGGCTAGAGGCATGTGTGGGAGGGGGGTCCGGAATCGTGATTTCAGGTCAGCACATATTTGGGAAGTACTCTATAAGACAAGAACGGGGATGTTTTTATCATGCCCAGGTTCATTCGGGTTGTGACGCTACACGCGACGGAAAAATCGGGTATGCACTTGGAGGGGGCTCAAGGGTAGGGCTAGAGGCATGTGTGGGAGGGGGGCCCGGAATCGTGATTTCAGGTAAGCACATATTTGGGAAGTACTCTTTAAGATAAGAACGAGGGTGTTTTTACCATGCCCAGGTTCATTCGGGTTGTGATGCTACACGCGACGGAAAAATCGGGTATGCACTTGGAGGGGGCTCAAGGGTAGGGCTAGAGGCATGTGTGGGAGGGGGGCCCGGAATCGTGATTTCAGGTAAGCACATATTTGGGAAGTACTCTTTAAGACAAGAACGAGGGTGTTTTTACCATGCCCAGATTCATAACCGCCGCTGCCATCTGACCCGAGAGCAGCGCGAAGGAATGCTTCGGCTTCATTGTCGGAGTGTTCAGCTACTAGGAGACCTACACTAACACCTGAATCACTCATGTTTAGTTACATGTTAATGCATAAGGTTAAGGACAACTGTTTATGTTAAGCCTTGTGCTGGGTCGATTGCGAGGTGAATACCACATGGGCTGCACTTAGATAGAAATATGTGGCATATATAATTGCATTCTTTCTAAGATGTTTCATAGCACGCTTCTGAGCACAGCGAGCACAGCACGCTGCCAGGAGGCCCTGTACGACCTCAGACTCCCTTAGGGGGTACGAGCACTCTTGCCAGCAGTCCAAAAGGACCCAAAAGCAGCAGTCGTACACATCTTCGCGCGAAACGGCACGGCATACGGCATGGGCGCCAACGCAGGCCAGGTTCAAGCCACGCCCTATTGTGAAGATTACTATTTTTACCTAAAAGCGTGGAAATTCGACTACCGCGACTTCATTTATACGCGATACGCATGTCCCGATGGCCGCTCTCTGGCCGCTCGCGCATGTCTAAAACAAACGTGGTTTCTATCAATGAGGAAGACAGTAGGGCAGAGCCAAGCCTGAAACTGCTTCGCAACTACTTCATTTAGGCATTCCTCTTTAAATTGCCGCCAAAAATCGATTTACTAACCTGTGCCCAGACCGTTACCTAAAGCGGGAGCGTTGCCTCCCGGCAGTGCGCGGTATGCTGGCCTCATTGTGTTCCAGGCCTCATGTGGTCCAACTCTCAGTGCTGGCTTCCCTGCATTGCATATGCACAGCGCTTGGCCCATGGGTCGCTTTTTCGCTTGGAGGTTCATGGACGCACGACAGCCCGCTTTGCTTAGACGCCAAGAAACATCAGCACCGGGAAATAATTAAACAAGCAAATGTTCCGAAAACCCCTTGCTTGCATATTAGCTGAAAGTGCCCAACAGTACTGCTGTGCACATGCGAACACAAAACTTAGCCCGCAATGAAGTTGCATTGCAAGCGAGTAGACATGAGAGATCCTGAAAATCATGAAGCACAAAGGCAACAAACCATCATGCATAGATGCGCCGTTGAATGATGCATTGCTTTCAGTCATTGATGACGCCCGTACTTTTCAACTGTCACCGCCTGGTTGTACGGAAGAACAGTTATAATTAGGCGTCAGCACTCATTGAGAAGCATCGAAATTAGCGTTGCAAGCAAGCTTGACCTGCACTACCATTGCTTGCCGCTTGCAAATTCCGTTTTCCATTTGTTAGCAATAGGATAACCAACTGCCGGTCGGCGTCGGAATTGTTGCCCACATCACAACCCTTGCCATTGACCAAGATAGGATGGGCCGCTTTCACAGCCCGTCGCTTCTCGTCTTGCTTTCGCTGGGTGAGTCCGTCTGCAGTAAAGACCTGCCTTGAGCATGAAGTGCACCCATGCTGTTTGCATCCTGCCTATTCGACTACCCTCCCGTGATTACACTACCCGTCTGTGGCTATGTATATCGCTTAACCTATGCTAAACCTCCCACTCCTTTCGCCCGCCCTTGTATACCATCCAGGCCTGGCGGCTGTTACACTTGCTCAGCAGCCTCCGGCGCCCATTAATCCGAGTCTGCCTAACCCCGCCACCAACGCCACCTCCAACACCGCGCTCAACGCTGCTCTAACCGCTGCTGCTGCCGCCGCCCCCAAGCCAGCCCCCAAGCCCGCCGCCGAGGCCCCAGCTACGGCCCCCGGAGTTGCACCCGCAGCCAAACCCGCTGTTGTACCGCCCGCAGCAGCGGCGGCGGCTCCCGATGCCATACAGCCAGCCCCCGGAGCCGTACAGCCAGCCCCCGGAGCCGTACAGCCAGCCCCCGGAGCCGTACAGCCAGCCCCCGGAGCCGTACAGCCAGCCCCCGGAGCCGTACAGCCAGCCCCCGGAGCCGTACAGCCAGCCCCCGGAGCCGTACAGCCAGCCCCTGGAGCCGTACAGCCAGCCCCTGGAGCCGTACCTCCAGCTGCCGGAGCCGTGCAGCCAGCCCCTGGTGCCGTACTGACAGCCAAGCCCGCCACGATACCGTCTGCCGTTCCCGCCGCCAAGCCCGCTGTCATTCCACCGGCAGCGAAGCCTGCTGCTGCTGCTGCTGTGCCGCCGTCCGCCACACCCGGTGTCGTACCCCCGGCTGCTGCTGATCCTGCTGATGAGCCCCCGGCTGCTGGGCCCGGTGTCGTGCCGCCTGCCGCACCTCTCGCCAAGCCTGCTGCCGCTGCTGCCGTACCTCCGGTGGTGCCACCTGCAGCCAAGCCGGATGCCGTACCAGCTATCCCTGCAGCAGCTGGGCCCGATACCGTGCCACCGACGGCGCTGTCTACCGCAATTCCGCGCTCTCCTGTGTCGCCGCCAACCACCCCTGCTGATGCCGTACCTCCAGCGGTTGCCGTACCTCCTGCGGGTGCTGCCGTACCTCTACTTCCTCCCATCAAGCCGTCTCCGGCGGGTTCGCTGCTGCCGCCCGCGGACGTACCCAACGGCCTGCCCGCTGTCCCCACCGCTGCTGAGGACAAGGACGCACCCACCACGGTACGTGAAGTCCAGGATGTGCCTTGGTGGGGGTTGGAGCTATCGGTTTGGGGCCTGCACGGGATGCACTGGCGTCGTTGTAGGCCGAGGATGAGTCTCGGGAGGTCAGCAGCCTTACTTGGCA